TCCAAGTGAAATTTATACATCACCTAAACTAAATTTTCAACATTAAATCATATCACCCCTAATTTGAAACCAGAATTGCAAAATTAATACCCTAGTTCTAAATTTGTTGTACAAGTTCAAGCTAATTCAATTCAAAAACATAACACCTTCCAAATTTTTTTTATTATATATAATAATCACAACATAACCCCTTTGCATGCATCTTAATCAAGAAATTAAAGAAGATAAACAAAAAAAAATATGAATACAAACCACATAACCTAACCCATGTCCATAATTAATAATAAGCATATAATCAAAGAATAATCAAATCAAGAAATTAACCTAGCGTGGATGATCCTAACACTGGTTTTCATTTGAGGGCGAGACCAATTGTACGCGATCGATCCTGTAATTCCACTCAACCATAAACACCCTGCAAAAATCAACACAATTAATTCAATTCACAATCAAAATCAATCAAAAAAGGGGGTAACTTTAATCAAATTAGGGAAAAATCAAAGAAATTACCGACGGTACGAAGCTTGTGTTGAACAACCCATGACCTAACAGATTCCATGGTGGTTTTGGATTCTTCCGCCATTGTTAAAGATTAAGAATTTAGAATTGATGAAGAAAGAGAGAAAATTGAGGAAAATTCGGAAAGCGGTGAGATATTAAGGAGAGAGATATATAGAGGGTAAATGAAAGTATGCAACTTTGAAACTACCATCTACCTGAATTTCCTGTTTTCAAACCCGTTGGCGGATTGCCGAACACGAATTTTTTTTTTTTTTTTTTTCGTAGTCAAAGCACGTCAAACAACGCATGTGAATGGTAAAATGCTAGTTCAATATTTTCGTTTGGCCTAGACACATGTATCATGTTTCATGTATGTGATAGGGCTAAGTTTTAATCTATGAAAGGACTTGGTGTTGTTGGGGTATGGCTCATTGAAGATGGAATCCAAACCTTAAGTTGTCTCTAATGTGAAAGGGATGTTTTAGATATGAGTTCAAGCAAGAAACGAATGTGATTGTAAGAACTAATATACTGATTACTTTGAAAAAAAATTAGAGAAATTTGGAATGTCATGGCTAGGGGTGAACATGGTCTGGTTTGGTGCGGTTTGAGTATAAACCAAACCAAACCGCAAAATACGGTTTGGTCAATTTTTCAAACCAAACCAAACCATATTAATATTGAAACCAAACCAAACCACACCGTAATAATGCGGTTTGGTGCGGTTTGGTTTGCGGTTTATGATGAGACGACATTTTTTTCCTAAAAAATGTCAAATATTAATAAATTTATAATAAAGTTCAAATAATTAGCCCAAACGGATTAAATTATACTACAAAGTTTTAATAAATATAACAACCAACTAATCAAGTGCTAACACAATAACACATAATAAAAATAATACATAACAAATTAACAGTGGAAAAAAACATAATACATTTGTCCAAAAAAAAATAATTCATACTACATTATAGTTTTTAATAATTGGCAGCAACTTGACAACATCAGCAGCTACATTATGCGATATCAATGATTGCCGGAGCTAAACTGATCTTGGAGTATAGTAGTATACAGAATTACTGACCGTCTTCTAATGATTTTTCATGTTTTTTTTCATTTTTAAAATATATAATAACTATTTTAATTTTTATAAATATTATATAAATATTAATTGGTTTGGTTTATAATTTTTGAAAAACCAAACCAAACCGCAAACCGTATTTCCCAAAAATCGAAACCAAACCGTATTTTTCCAAACCATAAACCAAACCAAACCGCTAAAATGCGGTTTGGTCTGGTTTGGTTACGGTCCAGACCAAATTCTGTACAGCCCTAGGGCTAAGTATTTTTATAACAGTTACTTGTAAGTTAAGGCCTTAAGGAAAAGTGCAATATCAAGCTAAAGATGCCAGTTCGTTATAAGTCTTATAACATGGCACGACTCAACACAGAAAAATGTGACACAACATGTACAAGAGGTAGGCATGATTATGAATGCATGATACAAGACACTACTATGCATGTTGACTGTTGAGTCAAAGGATAACAAACACAAGTTAGATTTGCCTGGATTATGCTACCACAACATAATGAAATGTGGGCTTGGCTCAGTGTGGACCATCTTTTTGAAAATTTCAACACAACAGGTTGCAAGTGGATTAAGTCTAATTAGGCCCGAACACATGGAACAACTCCACAATCATCTTTAAACTTTAATCAAGCATATATACACTTGTAAATTTGTAATAAATTCAAACAAGGCACACAAAGGAAGACAAGCTAATTCTAGTCTCAATACTCTTAGCCTTATTGTTAATCCCTTTATTCGATATTAATGGTCACACTTGACTTTTTTTTTTTTTAATCAATTTTGATTATCAATTTCTTTGATTAGGTATTAGTAAAAATAATAAAAACTTAATATTCCAATAATACACATTAAGATAAATACAACAACAACAACAAGTTACTTATTAACATTTTAACATATATGTATAATACTCATTCTGTTATTTTTTGTTCTTCCCATTTAGAATCTTGACACTATTTATAAGATGAGAAAATCCTATAATCTAATCTTAATATTAGGGGTGAAACTAATTTGGTTTAAAACCAAACCAAATCGAATTACAAATATGGTTTAGTTTTTTTTTTTCTAATGTGGTTTGGTTTGGTTTGTAAAATCGAAAAACCGAATTAGAGTGGTTTGGTTTCGGTTTGAGAAACTGAAAAACCGAAACCAAACCGAATTTTTTTTGTTTTTGTAATGTTGAACAAATTTTTTTTTTTGGGATGAAGTGTCGATTTTTTCTTTCTTCTTTTTTTTTTCCATTCCAGATTGGCCTCGTTACTTTGAATTAGCACTTGTTAATGTTGTTTTGTTCCTATTATGCTACTGTTATGTTGATTAATACTTCCTCCGTTTTCTTTACTTGCAACACTTCCCTAAAAAGGAAATGTCACAATACTTGCAACACACTATAAAAGGAAAGTTGCTTTAGGGAAAAACTATACTATTTCCCTTAATTAAAGTACATGACTCACTAAATTACACTCTTAACAACCACTCATCCTATTTTAAAGTTTATTATATCATGTAAACCCCGCCTTTCTTAATTACCGCGCTAAAGGGTGTGTTGCATCTAAAAGAAAATGGAGGAAGTATGATATTTCAGTTTGGTTTATATAGTTTAGAAGCCCACAAAAGTTGCAGATTAAGGCCTAAATAAACAAGGCCTAAAAAATTCGGTATGTTCGGTTTTTTTTATTTAAAATCGAAATTTATATGGTTTGGTTTGGTTTGGTTTCAAAAGTAAAGTGATGCGGTGTGGTTTGTAAAATTCAAAAACTGAATTAGAGTGGTTTGGTTTTGGTTTGGGCTATAAACCAAACCGAAAACCGAACTTTCACCCCTACTTAATATACACAATATAACATGTATGAGCAAAAGATAAGCATGACTCAATACCAAAAGATACAACATAACATGAACAAGAGATACGCATGACACACACGAAAAGATACAACACAACATGAGCAAGAGGTAGGCATAACACAACACGCTACTATGCATGATTTTACATTGAGCCAAAAAGATGTTAAAATAAGTTAGATTTAATTTTGCTGCAACTTGACAAAATGCATGGACTTGGGCTCTGTGTGAACTAGTGGTTAGCAAACCGGGTACCCGGTCAAAATTTTAGGACCCGGATCCGGAATTGGTTGTAACCGGATCCTAAATTTTGGAACCGGAATTGAAATTGGTTCAACCGGGTCCTAAAATTTAGGACTTGGAATTGGAATCACCGGGTACCGGTTCCAGTTCCGGGTACCCACTTATGTAAATAATTATTAAAATATATTATAAATTATGATACTTATTTAATTTTATTTTCATTTTTAGCGTTTAACACTTGTATTTATATGTACATCAAGATATTTTATTTATGTTGGGTATTAAAAATAATTTTTTTATTTTACTAACTAGATACATTTAACATATTTTTATTTTAAAAAACTTATTTAGTGTAGCATATGTTAGTTAACCGGGTACCCAACCGATTCCGGGTCCAAAAAATCAAGAATTGGAATTGGAACCGGTTGCAACCGGTTCCTTAATTTATTACCCGAAATTGGAACCACCGGATCCAATTCCGGCTCCAGACCACCAGTTCCTAACCGGTTCCTATATTAACACAACATGTGGCGAGTGGGTTAAACATAGCACACGATACAACCCCACATACATCTTTAATCAAGCCTATTCCTATATTAATAAGACATACAAAAGGAAGACAAACACAAAATTTCAATTTCAATACTCTTAGTCGTAGTGTTAATTTAGGCCCTGTTTAGTTCACTTTATATTTGCTTATCTGAATTTATTTGATCTGGTAATTTGATCTAATCTGATTGTCTAATTTGACCTCAAGTGTATGATAATCTATAAAGAAAAACATATCAAGTGGGGTCTTGTTAGATTTGTAATAATGTGTATTTTTATTAATATGTATTTTTCATAATTGTTTTCATTACAAAATTAAAGATATTTAGCAATAAAAAACTGCACATAAAACGATATTTAATCAAAACTTATTTTTTCTGATCTGATTTGAACTTATTTTTTCTGAAATAAGTAAACATAAGCTGAACTAGACATGGCCTTGGTTCCCGAGTTTAGTAGTCTAAAGATAAGCATAAGTAATCTTAGTTATTGATTACCAAGTTAAGCTTGGTCTAGTGGTAAGGTTGTCACATTCCAATCTTAAAGTTAGGGGTTCACTCCCCACTAGAGACACTTTGAGGGTAGGGATCTCTTACCCTCCCCTTTACTCTCAAAATGTCTAACCCACAAATACCGGACCAAAAAAACGGTAAGAGTTGAGGTTCGGTTATGCACTTTCTCCTTAACTTACACACACATACAAAAAAATAAATAAATAAATAAAATAAATAAATAAATAAATAAAAATGAGGGCAATCTTAACAAAACGTTATAATTGCTCAACCTGTAATTATACTATGAGTATGACAAAGCCATAAAGGTGGTGGTAAAAGCTCATGTCCATTTAGTTAATGCTTTTAAAATTTGTTCACCATCTGTATTCCTTTTCAACACTAGCAGGTGTGTCTGAGAACCGAGAGTGAGTGTGACACGACGATGAGGAACAAAGCTTTGCTTTCACTTGCTTCTGCTTCTTCGCCATTTTTAGTTATTCTTCCTTGTTTTCCCCCTCTTTTTATTTCTCCTTTTCCATTTCTATTTCTATTTCATTCCCGATCTTACTCTTATCGTTCCAAACGTTTTCATTTTCATCTTAATGTTGATGATGATGACCCCAAATTGTTTCTGAAATTTGTTAGACAACAATCCAAATTAGGGTTTACTAATGTTGAAACCCCCCTTTCCCATTTCCACCATATGATATCGATGCGACCTCTTCCTTCTATAATTGATTTCTGTATGTTATTGAGTGCCATGTCCAAGATTAAACCCCACCCCCCTTTCTCCACTGTCATTTCTCTTTATAGACAACTCCATTTGTTAGGTGTTCGCCCAAATGATTACTCCCTTACCATCCTTGCTAATTGCTACTGTCTTTTGAACTTTGTTGATTTTGGGTTCTCTGTGCTCGCCAACATTATTAAACTTGGTTTTCAGCCTAGTATTGTCACCTTTAATACCCTCATTAACGGCTTCGTTCATACTCATCAGTTGGACAAAGCTGTTCCTTTATTGGATAAAATTCTCAAGCTTGGCTACCAACCCACATTAATCACCTATGGCTCTATCTTCAAAGGTCTATGTAGGTCCGGTGATAATGCCGGTGCTCTCAAACTCCTCAGAAATATGGAGTCTTATGGCCATTCTATGCCTAATGTTGTCATTTACAACACCATCATTGATAGTCTCTGTAAAGACCAGTTATTACCTCAGGCTCTCCGCCTTTTCAAGGAGATGAAAGTCAAGGGAATTTCCCCTGATGTTGTCACCTTTAATACCTTAATTCGAGGTATGTGCACTTTGGGGCAACAGAAAGAGGCCCAAGAAATGCTGACTGAGATGTTGGGGAACAACATAACTCCTGACATACAGACCTACAACATATTTATTGATATTTATTGTAAAGATGGCAAGGTTGGTCAAGCAAAGGGCATTTTTGAATACATGACTAAGAGAGGATTGGTTCCTGATATCATCACTTACAGCGCTCTGTTAGACGGATATTGTTTACGGGGTGAGATGGATGCGGCAGAAAAGCTTATGGATTTGATGGTTGAAAATGGTTGTAAACCTAATGTAGTTACTTACAACAGCTTAATCAATGGCTATTGCAAGTCTAAAAATATAGACAGAGCTCTTGGTCTGCTCCAAGAAATGCATTGCAACGGATTATCCTCTGATGTTATCACCTACAACACTCTTATAGATGCCTTGTGCAAGGACAATCAGCTCAAGCTTGCACACCAGTTTTTCGAGGAAATGGAAGCTCGTGGACTAAAGCCAAATGTCATCACTTGGAGCTCATTGCTTGACGGCATGTGTAAGAATGGACAAATTGACGAGGCAATTACAATAATGAAGCAAATGGAGAATACTGGAGTGGTCCCTAATATTGTTACATACAATATCCTAATGGATGGTTTGTGTGATGCTAAACGCCTTAGAGAAGCAGTGGACATCTTCTCCGTTCTTACAACTAAAGGGCTGCATGATGTGCGTGCTAACACCATAATGATTAAAGGGTTTTGTAAAGAAGGGTTGCTCGTTAAAGCTGATGAACTGTTGAAGAATATGGAGGACAATGGATGTTTTCCAAATGATTGTACCTTCAATACAATTATTAGAGGATTTATAGATGGAAAGGATGTTAGGAGAGCTTTAGAGCTTGTCAGCTTAATGAGAAACAAAGAGTTTGCTGCTGATAATCACACTATATTGTCATTTGTGAGCTTACTCAGTGATCCAAATATTGGTGATGAAGACAGGGAATTGCTGAAAAAGTTTTTAGAAAACTGAGCGAGCGATTATTAGGAAAAGTGAAAGGAGCAATGACTAAAACATATATGATCAGCTGTGATAGAGATGTGTACACAGATATTGTGAATGACTTGTGAATCAGTAAGTCAAATATTTAATGTGTAACTTTTGATTGATTGTAGGAAAAAGCATTTACACCTGTGATTTGGAACCTTTGATTTTACTTCTTTTTGGGCTTGCTTTTACTTGAAAAGTGCTCATGGAAGCAGATGTGGATTGGCCTATTGTATTAATTTGCGTGTGTTTACTTGGTATCTTCCAGCGAGTTGCATTTGTTTTCTTATTATTCTTTGAATATCAATGGAGCCAGAGCTCAAGTTTAGCTATATCTTACTATCTAAGCCACGATACAACCATGGAAGATGCTAGGTTCAAGCACAGGGCATTTAAGGTCAATAACACCAATTGTGTCAACTTTGCTAAGGACAAATTATTGCAGCACACAAGAATCTACTTGTACTTTAGTTTAATCCATTCATTTGAGATGTGTTAATACTATGTCCCTAGGTGTGTTTCAGCTCTCTGCAGAATAAGTACCCATTGAAGTCACTGTCTCATTAAAGATTTTACTTCTTCAGGGCACTAGGAACTTGCTGTACAAATTTCATGTTTTGATCACATAGCATAGTTATAATTTCAAGATTATATCATTTTGACATGGTCTTCTTCTGTTATTTTCTTTTCTTTTCTTTTTCCCATTCTGAAAAAAAGAAGAAAAGAAGCAAAAGGGGTAAAAAATAACCCTCAGGTTTAGAGATCAGTTTAAGCTGGTTAAGCAGCAATATAAAAGATACAGCCCGATTTATAAGAACGTTGCCCAATCTAATTGGAGCTCTAATAGACTATATAGCAAAGTCTGCAGAATTGTGATATGCTTGTTCGCAGACTTGACTTGTTTGCAGATTTTAGTTTGTTTATTTGCAAATTAGAATGTGATTGGGGCTTCTGATTTTTTTTTTTCCAGTATATTTTACTAGGCTTTCCTACTGAGTTGTATTTGTATAGCATGCTAATTTGGACTGATTTTTTCTCATTTCTGTTTTGGTTTACAGCATAGATTTTCTGTTTTGCAGTACTAAATATTAAATTTTGAGTCATGTTCTCATTCTCCTTTGTTATGTAGATTTGTAAGAGGTGCAAGGTCATGAGCACAACTGGTTTTGAGAGGAAGAAAGAAACAATGAGACTGGATTTCGACATGGTAGCTGAGTTAGTAACTAATCAAACTGCACTACTTTTAGTCATCTGAAGTGTTCAGATTAGGAAACAATGTTTATACTTGGTTGGAAAAACAATTTCATTTACTAGATTGTACAACCTCGGCTACTACAAAGAAGTAGTGTTTTGGTCGATTCGAGTGTGAGGCTGAACCAAACCAAACCAACGGACCAACCCAACAATATGTTAAATAAGGCTGCTCAAGTTATAACATTCAGTAAACATCGAAAATACTACCAATATATTACAGTAAAGTATCTTGTGGGTTGTGGCAAATAGCTCTTTTCTTCTAAATCTGCCCAAATAGCTCTTTTCTTTTAAATCAACTATATAACCTTTTCAATCAACTAACTCTCAAATACTTCGTATAAGTGTTTAAAATTTAAATACTCTTTATGTAATTTTGACTATCACTAATTCTCTAACACTAATATATGTTAATGTCCTTATTGGTAATTTTACACACTCAAACACGTATTAGCTAAAAATTATTAATCAAACAATCTTATACAATTAGCTAATCAATCCAACTAATACAATCAGCTAGTCAATGTCTTGTTTGGTAAATAGCTTTTAGCTTATTGAGCACAATTAGAAGTTTGACCATTTTTAAAACAAATTTAAATGTTTGGTAAATAACTTATTAAAAGAGCTATTTTGGCTTAAAAAGCTCTGTTAGAAAAAACTCTTTATAAAAACTATTTGAAATGAGCTTATTAAATAGGAAATTTTTTAAATTACCATCCAAAAATGTAACCATTTTTCAACTAACCATCCGTTTAATTTTTTATATTAAATTACCACCCTTCAAATTAAATAAATGCTCAGATTACCACCCATTTCAAAAATCCGGTGAATTTTCCGTCTATGGGCCCACCCAATACTTATTTTAACCCTTTTGACTGATTTTTTTCCTCGATTTTTCTCTTTAAAAACGCTCTCCTACTTTAATTCACATTTTTCTCTTTGAAATTTGGGAGAATTTGGTTAAGGAAATGGGAATTAAAGTTTAGAGAGCGTTTTTAAAGAGAAAAATCAGGGAAGAAAATTAATCAAAAGAGTCAAAATAAGTGTTAGGTGGGGCCTACATACGGGAAATTCACCGGATTTTTTTAATGGATGGTAATCTGAGCATTTATTTAATTTAAGGGGTGGTAATTTAAAATAAAAAATTAAATGGATGGTTAATTCAAAAATGGTTATATTTTTGGGTGGTAATTTAAAAATTAACCTATTAATTAATTAGTTTTTTGGGTTTGAAAAAAAAAACTAAAACAACGAATAATAAACAGCTAGTTACCAAACACTTTTATACAATTAGCTATTTACAACCAGTTAGTCAAATTAGCTAATATAAACATATTGTCAAACTAGTTAATACAATCAGCTAATAGTTAATTACCTACACAGGCCAAAGCCACCTGTGAATCCTTAATAATGAGAATGAATGCGTATTTTATAAAGCATCAACCTCTACCATCAATTCTCAATCTAAATCTCACTCTTAAATGCTCAAATTCTCACTTCCACATACCATACGTAATAGGAGTATTTTTATTATTAAAATTTAATTTTGAGTTTCCCATATACCAAATGTCCCATTCCATTATTTATTTATTTTAATTTTTTTGTAAATTACAAATTTAATTTTGAATTTGATGCCTTCCTTAATCTTTTCCAAAATCGCCAAATAAAAAAAAACACAACAACATAAAGCAATTCCCTCCTAAGATGATGCCACGTGGATAAACAAAAAATCATCAAATAAAAAAAAAAACCAACCAAAAAAACACAACAACATAAAAGCAATTCCCTCCTAAGATGCTGCTACGTGGATAAACAAAAAGATCAAACGTCTGGCGCACAATAAAACCGTAGGTTAAAAGCAGTGAATCCAATCTCCACCCTTATAAAACCCTATTTTCTCTCTCCTCTCATAACTGCTTTCCAGAGACTTCTAAATTTCACGGTAAGTTGCGTCTTCTTCTCGTTTTTTTCTTTTCTATAATTGTTTTCTTCTGATTTTATTGTGCTTAAATCATCGAAATTTCAATTTAATTTATAATTCTTTAATTAATAAGTTGTTCAGTTAACTAGTTCATCGTACTAGCAGTTAAGTTCGGTAATTTCGTTTTTTTTTTTTTTTTTTTCTGGTTTTTTTGGCATAGCTTGATTTCTTAGCTGTGTTGATTAAAACTAGGTTTTGGATTATTATTGATTTGTGGTAATTCGAATTAATTTTGGGATTTTTATTGTCAATTACCTTATTTTTTGAAATTTGATGGTACATCGACGTCTTATTCTATTAAATTAACGTTGAATTCTTGTTTTCCTGTGAGGTTTTTTTTTTTTTTTTTTTTTTTTTTTGTTTGTCCATTTTCAAAAAAAATTTAAGTTTTATTTTTTTTAGTTAGAATTGTCATATTACTTGTTGTTTTTTAATCGTAATTAGCTCAATTTTGGGAATTTTTGTGATGTTTAATTGATTCATCAGATTGAAGATTATCCAATTTATTACACTTAATTCTTACTCCGTTGTATGTAGATTATAGGCAATTGCTATAGTTTTTGACAAGAGCTCGAAATATTGTTCTAAAGGAAATGTTTTGATTGTTTAACTTTTCGGATTAAAATTTGCGTATTCGAATTTAAAATTTTGATAGCTAATTCAACATGTGAATAATTTGATTTGTCTAAATTTTAGTTAAAATAGATTGTTTTCTTGTTTTGGAGGGAATTTTTTTTACAGAATCTTGGAAATTCTGATAGTTGGCTATATTTTGCTGTGCAGCTTTTGTCAAGTTTTAATCTTTGTGAAGGGTTGAAGAAAAACATGACGAGACGAATTTACCGTACTATTTACGTTGGTAATCTTCCCGGTGATATTCGCGAGAGAGAAGTCGAGGATATCTTTTACAAGGTTGGCCTTTACACAAGTTTATGTGCCCCATCTTGAATATGAGTATTGTCCTTGAAATGAATTATTAATATTCTACTAATTTATTAATAAATATCCAAGGTTAAGATTGTGTAGTTAGAAATGAATATTCTATATGTGCTATTGTTGATGCTGTCATGATGTATTGATAACCGCAGTAGTTATTTGACATTGTATTTCACTGGATTGCGGAGGCTTTATTCTAGCCGTTTGAGATTGACAGAATATATTGTAGTAGCTGAGTTAGGCACACCTATTTTTGGATTAGCGAAGGCAGAAGAGATGAGAAATATTTAGGCTATTGGTATGTCCTTATGTGATATTGTGTTGCTGAACGATAGATAATAATATATTGATGATCAATCTTTTCAAACCAACATGTGTATAGTGTGCAAGACATACACGAGAATCAATGGTGGGGAGTACAACTCTAATATATGTCAATTTCGGAAAAAATATTTGTTATGTAATAAGTCATTCACAGTGTCTCGTGATGCTCTCGGTTAAAAGTGTCAATTAAGAATGGTTGAATGATGATCCTACATGGGCCAAAACAATATAGAAAAGAAATTAGGATTGTGCTTCTCGCTCAAGAAAAAATGTACATAGGAGACAAATATAGCGCCTGTATGTGGGTTTTTATATTTTATTTTAAATAAATAATAATGACAAATTTGTGTTATTGTGTGTGTGTGTGTGTGTGTGTGTCGGGGGGTTATTATTCTGTTTAAAACCAGTGTTGGTTGCAATCAAAAGAATATGTTACTATGGCCAACTCAGAAATTAGAATTTACTTTAGTTGTTCTTGGTCAGAGATGTAAAAAATGTAATTATGGTAGCTAAGTAAAACAAGCGACTACTCACTATTTGTTTACGCTCTGATGCAGTATGGCCCAATCGTTGACATTGATCTGAAGATTCCACCACGGCCTCCTGGTTATGCTTTTGTTGAGGTGAGGTCAAATTTTGATTGGGAGTGAGTGAGCTGGGATTAGATGGGTGAATGTTATGAACTTGTAGTTTCTTTCCCTTATTTCTCAGTTTGTCATTTTTTTTTTTGTTATATGTTCTTTACAGTTCGAAGATGAACGTGATGCTGAAGATGCTGTGTATGGCCGTAATGGTTATGATTTTGACGGGCATCGTTTGCGGGTTAGTATGCTTGGGTCCTATTTTGCTGCCTGTCTATCTGAGCTTCCGTTTTTTGTCTGTTTAGTGTTGCAACACTTACAACGGTGTTCTCAACTCTTTAGGTGGAATTTGCTCATGGTGGTCGAGGATCCCTATCATCTGACCGTCACAGCAGTTATGGAGGCAGCAGTTATAGGGGTGGAGCACCCAAGCACACTGACTATAGAGGTTAGTCTTGTACTCTTGCTTCTCAAGTGATATCTTTTTGGTTATTTTACTGCTCTAAGAAATTCTAATGTTGGTGTTTGTGCAGTCATGGTCACTGGACTGCCGTCATCTGTTTCTTGGCAAGACCTTAAGGTGAGTGATAAAATTTTTTAAGCTAGATAGGATTAAGGAATCATTGTGCTGTGCAGTTGTGTTTCGTGCATGATTGTTATGTTAAATTTTCCCCTTCCCATTATCCACTGTCTATTGTTCATGCTTTTTTCTGATCTACTTATTATATTCTTCACTATTAGGATCACATGCGACGAGCCGGAGATGTTTGTTTTTCAGATGTATTCAAGGATCGTCGTTATGGTGGTAAGTTGGTGCACTTGATGCCTTGAATTTCTGCTTTCTAAGTGCTTCTTGCATCCGTGTCTATGATTGCTTGCTCAATATATGGTTTGGTGATATGGGTGCTTTAGGGTGGAATTGTGCTTTGCTGCAGTGCATCTTATGTTGAATATATATGTAATGATTTAAGCTGTCCCAGCAACATTTCAGAGAAGAATAATTATGAAAAAGAGACAGATCAAAGCAAAGGAGAGAGAATAACTATTATTATCATGTACGGGGTATTGATTTTTCCAGTATAAGTGTGTTCTGATAATCAAGGAATTCGAGAGGCCTTGAGCTCTCCTTGTAATAATATGGAAAACATTTTCTGGATACTATCAAAATCTATAGTGCCCTTAGGTGCCACACTTGCCGGAAAGCCGGAGTATTTCAGCATGATTGGGATTTGGGAGACCCTAGGGTGGGTCATTAGAATGTAATCACTCAACTCTATGAAGATGAAATATGTAAGGGTTGGATATTTATATATTATCTGGGTCACTGGGTGACAAAAATAGAAGAATAGGTTGGACTATTAACTTAATCTTATTGCTTTAATTCTAGACGGAAACTGTGACATCTGGTCTTATATTTATTTGTTGACTAAATACTCACCTTTCTGTTTGACTTATATATTTCCTTAAGCTTTTTACACCCTCTTGTTTTAGACAATTTCTTAAGTCTTATCTGGAATCCGTCACAATATTCACTTTTTACTATGGCATATTAATCATCATTCTACCTAAAAAGGCCCATGGTCCTTTTTGCAAGCCTGCATGTGATAGATGCTGATGTGTATGTACAACGTAATAATGTTGAAGGATAAGTATTATCTTGCTGCATTAGTTTGAACTTCGCTCATTTTGTATCATAGTTTGGATTATTATGAGCTCAACTGTCCAGAAAAAAAAAATATATGTTTATGTTCTTTGGGTTCATCTGTAAAAGTTGGGATGTTTTGTGCATTGCATGCTTATATCTGTATATATTACTCTTCATCTGATTGACTATTTTTTTGCAGGCATGACTGGAGTTGTTGAATATGCAAGTTATGATGATATGAAGCGTGCTGTAAGTTAGTTTGGTTCTGTATGTTGTTAAGAGGCAGTTTTTACTTTCTATGTCCCCTTTCCTTGGGGTTTAATTTGGCATTACTTATCATGCAGGTCAGGAAACTGGATGATTCTGAGTTTCGTAATGCATTCTCTCGTGCTTATATTCGAGTATGTCTCACGTCAAACTGATTCTTGAAATGTGTATATTTGTTTGAATTATATATATATATATATATATATATATATATATATATATATATATATATATATATATATATATATATATTTCTTTTTCTAATCTATATTTTGCCTGTAGGTGAAAGAGTACTCCAGGAGTCTGAGTCCAGATGATAGGTCGAGAAGTAGAAGCTACAGCCGTGGCCGTAGTTACAGCCGAAGCAGAAGCCGAAGCTGCAGCTACAGGTGCTGTTATTTGTTTTAAGTTGGAAATTGTTGTGAAGTTCCATGATATGATAGCATGTTGATGTGGTTTATTCTGATGCAGCATTTCTCCAAGAAAAAGTTCACGACGTTCTTATTCCAGATCTCCTTCTAGGTCTCCCTCAAGATCCCCTTCTCGTTCTCGTTCTAGGTATGTTGTTGTTCTTGTAATTTGTGCTTATTAGTCAGACATTTTCTAGTATCAGTTACTTGCCTGTTCAAGGCTTGCCTGTTTAAGGGTTAATTAGATGGCTATCGGTGTTTCATTATATTTCAAGAAACTGCTTAGCCTTATACCAATGACATAGCTAGTTGGTTTATGTTTAGCTTCTATTGATGGGCCAGATTCTGGTGACAGGCAATATTCTACTGATTATCCCTGCTTAATCTTAATTAGTTACATGTTAGCTTCTAGTGTTGAGCCAGGATTATGTAATTGGTAAGATTATGTTGCACTATATTTCTCTGATCTAACCTTGGTTAAGCAATGCACTGTTTGATTATCCTTTTGGCTGGTATAAGAGGGAACATTATAATGTACTCCACTTTGAAGTATAACAGCCCATTTACAGGAGGGCTTCTTTCTTGGTAATAGCAAGAATAGTACCAACCATAGTGTGAATTTCTGTGTTTTATTGATGGGCAAGCATCTCTATGGGACAATATAGTTATCTTGGTATCAGCCCATTATAGATAATGGCATAAAATATACTGGATCCAGCATGCAAGAGTATGTATCTTTCAAATTAGAAATTACTAGTTTTGGGTGCTGCAAGACTGGATCATCTACCTATATGTGGATCATTCTTTTTTACTCTGTAGATTATTGGGAAGGCCATCAAAGGTTCAGCAAATGTTGGGTTGTTATTACAAGTTGTAACCTCTTCCCCCTCTAGATAATCTATTTGTGCAATTTTTTTATTTTTTTTTTTTTTATTTTTATTTATTTTTTTTTTTTTTATTTTTTATCTAGTGCACATTCTCTTTCTTTATTTTCTTTGGTCTATGGGTGTTCTTTGTCTTGGGTGATGCCAGAATGGGAGTATGGAATAGTATGTAGTTTAGGTTTTTTGGGTCCTAGAGAAATGATCTTTTTCATTGTCTATTTATGTTCTATCTGTTTTAATCATTTAACATCTGCACGGTATTGGTTATTTTGCTTGCTGCCTATCAGATGCATTTATGTGCAGTCGGGTGTCATATTTGTAGGCTATTGACCTGTTTCTGTTTTGGGTGGCGATTTGTGCTTTTTATGTCAGCATTGTTTGCATTTTTTCTGTCAATGAAATTGAAAAGTAAAGGATGGTGCCAAATTTCATTTTGATTTGTTACTTAAATTTTTGTAGTTGGAGCGATGGACTGTGGTGAGTAAAGAGGAGTCATTGGATACATGCAGGTAGTTTGTCTCGTATATGCCATATGATGTGATGAATTTATTAGGACATGGCATTTTAGTGCTCTACTATGTCTAGTGAAATTATGCTTTTATTTAGATCTGAAGAATTTGGAACCGTATTTTTGTTATTCATCTTACAATGCCTTGTTTTTCAAGTTATGTGGAGTTTTGTCCAGTAAATAAATATGCATATTATAGGGATAAGTTGAAACTAAAGATGGAACATTCGAAAGTGAAAATGTAGATAAAACAGACAGATTTTCCAAATTAAACCTGCCTCTTGATGGATTTTTAGGACACGGTCGTATTTGAAACATATGAGATGTTGCCTAATTGTTTTAATGAGTTTATGAAGCTTGTCTTCTTTGTTTCGTAGATCCAGCTCTTTGCGGCAGTCTGGGGATTGGACATAGGGGCTTGGATCTATTTCACATCAAACCTTGCTCATTTCCATCCAGGCTGGCGTTGTTTTATATTTGTTGGATGTGTTCACTATTGGGAATTATGATTGTTGGATAAATAATAAAGGTATTATGTTTGGTGGAGGTTTTGGATGTGAGCTGGCAAAATCTTTGGTTCTATAAGAAAGAACTGGATTCTCATATGTGCTCTAGTGTCTTGGAACACAGAGCAGTTGTAGCCCAATTGCATAAGCATGAGATTTGGTAGGACTCCTGGTAAAAGGATATTGGTAGATACAATGTTCTATGCAATTTAAGTGCGAAACATGGTTTTGGGCCTTTGCTACACATTGGTGAACATGATATTCCACACCGATCTGACTGGATGGTAAGGTTGGAATTTCTTGCTCTAGTCCAAAATGGCTCTCTGATGGTAAGGTTGGAATTTCTTGCTCTAGTCCAGAATGGCTCTCTTTCCACTTCCCCTTACTGGTGTAATTTTTCTGTATAGTTTTGAGTAAAGGCAAACTGAGGTCCAAAATCACCCTGTTGAATTCTTGTCAAAATCATAACTAATTGCTGAATCTGTTAAATTTATGACAAATTGCTGAGGCTGTCAAATTTATTTAGACTGACATTTTACCAATGCTCTATTTGATTTTCAGATCTTTATCAAGGTCCAAATCTCCAGTTCGCCGTTCTGTTAGCAGAAGTGTCAGTCGATCACGTTCTCCAGCTGTATGATTTCTTCTATTATGTTCTGTAAATCATATTCTCTTTTTCAACTGCTGTGTAATCTACAAATTTGTGAACATGCAATGTTGTGTATTGCAGGCAAGATCTGATAGAAGTCGTTCTGTTGAGTCTGAGGAGCGTTGCTGAATCGAGAAGTAAATACTGCACAAAATAGTGGATGAGTGTAACGTTAAAGAGCTGTGCTGTAGCATATACTTGGGAGTAGAATTGTTAGAATTAGCTGATAATGTACACTCTTGCTATATTGGGACTAGGGCGCGAGGAGTTTACTCAGTAGATCAGATTAGTGAATTTCTCATCAGGGATCTGAACTTGCTGTTGCAGATTTTTAGTTTTCTATTAAGCGATTGACTAATTTGGTCGACTTAGTTGGTCAATAAATGATCTAAGAATTGTGGTTGTAAGATTCTTATGTATTGGTTTAAAATCTATTGCTTTTATAAATGTTTGGTAAAAGCTGAAGCTACTACACTTAAACAAAAGTAAAAATGGTTTTCTGAAACCCATTGTTACGTTACAGTTTTCAGAATTTCACTTCAGACTATAAACATAAAACCCTCTTAAATTTATGCTAAAGCCCGAGTATTAATGGCTAGAGAATTCGACTTCTTCAAGATAACCTCACTAAAAACAGTCCCCAATTGGTTAATGTTGTCAAGAATTGCATATGCATTAGCCCTTGTGGCGGAGGCAATGGCCTGGGTGAGGTTGTCACTAAAATCCTATAAGCAATATTGGAAAGAGACTACTAGAGTTGAGGTTGTCTTGTGGTGTTGTGATAGTATTTTGTAATGCTCTTATGACCTAATGTTACTAGCATCCAACCCAGGAAAGATCCTTAGTTAAATTTATTGTTGGTGATATTCGTCATGTGGCTGGTAAAGCTCGAGTTATGTTCTTTTTCCTTTTATCCTAGGATGTGTAATAAAAAATAAAGTTGCTGACTCCTTAGCCAAATTAGCCACCTCTTGGCAAGAAGAATTAATTTGGATGGAGGATTGTCACCACTCTGTAACCTCTCGTCATCTGACTCATCTCTGGCAAGGTCTTGATTTTTAATACTTAAGCTCGTTTTTTGGTGTTTGTCAAAATAAAAATAAAAATACTAGGAGTAAAAAATCAAGATTTATTCAAAAGAGTATTATAAATTATTGATTTTTCATAGAAGTTTTATAAGTATAACCTTATCAATCATGAAATATAAATGTCATTAAATCGTAAAAACTATAAATCACATGCTATCTTCATAAAAATAAAAAAATAATAAAAAATAAAATAAAATAAAAAAAAAAAGAAATTAGTGTATCTTAATTAAAAAAAAATCATTAATCAATTTACGATAAAGATCATATTAAAATTAAAATTAAAATTAAAAAGAAAATTTAATTTTTAACACCAGACCAGATTTGTTTTTTGATTTTATTAAACAAAAAAAAACACTTTTAACACCACAACAAAAATTTAAAATTGTTAATAAACCTCCATTATCACCTTCCTTCTTACCTCTATGACCATCTATTCAATCACCTACTTGAATTCAATCACCTACTTGAATTTTATTCTCTTTTCATTATCAGTGCTTATATGATCTTTTAAAGGTTTTTTCTCCTAAACATGTCTCATCTGACCTCATTAATTCTTAAACAACTAGAATTTAGGTGATTAAGTCAAGACCTAAAGACTAATGACTCTAGCCTACTTTGAACCTACTTATCAATGCCATTACTTCTAGTTAGAACTGAAAAAATATGAAAAGATATAATGGTTCAAAACTTCTTGAATTTTTGCATACAATTACCACAAATATACGGGGATAAGTTAACATGCAACAGAATTCAGTCCCCCCTTTCTCACAAACCTTCAGGCATTCTAGCAAGACAACCCCAATTCGCTTTCTAAGGCAACAGACACCTCCGCATAAACCATCGGTCATCTACGATTCAATGTCTTATCCTAAATACCCTCGAGGCTTAAGCTTTCTATGAAGCCACTGCCAGAAAGGACCATTTCAGGATCCACTCAACAGCATATAGGAGTCTCGCTTTTCCAAGCGAAACATCAAATAAAACCATTCTGCATCATTTCACACATTACATATTTCATTGGTTTCTGCAGTTGTAATATTGGCAATTTGTTTTCCGCTTTCACCCAATAACGGAAAAAAGGATAGAATGTGTGGTCTTACGACCGATTTTGTGATGGTGTCCGTTCAGATCCATGTCGTTGGCGGAAACTGCTGGACCCACCAACAACCTGGTGGGGAAGCCAATTGGAGTCTCTATCACCCTGAGTTAATGGGAAAGAACTCAAATGGTCTCTTTCCCACCCACGGAACCTGCTAGATATTGGATTCTCCGCTTCAGGAAAGCTCCGAGTGGATGTACCTGATGGGTATACAAAAAAGCCTCCATTCGTCTGATCAGATGATGAGGGAATTGGGGCCCCTTGGGACAAACCTCTATGGCCACTGGATCTTCTTGTATTGGACATGATGGGTGCACGTATGGGCGGGGAGCTGCTAGGTGGCTGAAAATATGCCTGAAGAGCTTGTACACGATCACGAGCTCGAGCCGCACTGCCTGGATATGGTGGAATCATAGATGAGGTGACAGAACTTCCAACCCTGCTGCCAGAACTGTGATAATAAAATAACAAGCAGTCATTAGAGGAAACACAAAAGTGGTCAAACAAAGTTTGTCATCAAGCCCAATCAGTTATACAATAGTAACACCCTGGTGTTTCAACCAACAAAGGAGAGATGATGATGTGTACACAGAATTAGAAATTGCCTGACAAGCTCCCTAAACAAGATGGTAAAAATTGATGTTGAAAAGACAACAAACATTGTCACATCTAACATAATGAACAAACACATCTCATTTTGGGAGAGCAAATGTGAATCACCCAAAGCAAAAAATGGGAAAAGGCAGCAGGAGAGCCATGGTTGTCTCTCTAAAAAGACTTGAAAATCAATATAAGGCTGCTTTACTAGGTTAAAGACTGTAGTATTTGTGGAATTGTGGTAGAAATTATACCGAGAATAAATCAGTTTCAAGTAGGAGACAACTCAGTAATTTTCGAAAACAAAATCCTTAATCCTTTCCATTGAAAATTCTATATTATCTAATAGTCGGTGCTTTTCTGAAGTCCAGCTTATTTTCCCTTATCCTTCAACAAGTAGGCTAGATTAAATAGCCCGAGCAGCTGGACCAATCCCATAAAGGCCCTAAAAGCTAAGTAAAGCTTAAAAATAAACTTCTAAACAAATAACGACCAGGCCAAAGGAGGATTGCCATGGTTGTCAGCACATACCTGTGGCTTACAACAAATGGATGGACAAATGACCCTGATCTTGACAAATCAGAATTCACCCGTGAGGATCTCGAAGTCAAAGATGGAGCTGAAGGTTGATCAGAAGCACCCATCCGATTTCCATTAGAAGAAAAGCTCAAGGACTGTTGCTCCCAACCATGATAATGGGGGTCCATGGCAGCAAAGGCATAAGAAGCTGGCATTTCACTGGGTCCAGATGGCCCTCCCCAGCGATTATTAAAATTGGAGCCATCAGATACACTTCCAACAGAGTTTGAGGATGAGGAATGGATTGGTCCATAATATGCTACATAAGGGCATTGATGTGTAGAAGATGAAACAGCCGTATGTTCAGCATAGACAGCTTGTTGACCCAAAAAATCATGATCTGTAAAAGTAAAAGAAATTTTAATAATTGAAATACCACCGTAGTCAAAACGTTATCAGCAAAAGGCGAATGCAAAAACAAAACTTACAAGGAGTAGATGGGAACTCTCCTTCCCTGCAAAGATAAGAAAAGTAACTCATCAAGAAACAGTCATCGATCAACAATAGAGTAAAACTGGCAGATCACTCATCAGATAGTCAAATACATAGATTATAACATGGAGATCCAACAAAATAATGGCCAAGAGCCCAGTTAACCAAGAAAGACATCACAATCTTAAAGTAGGACAACGCAGAGGCACACTACATCTTGAATCAAGGAAAATCATGCAAAAACAACAAAGCCCAATTGGAAACAGCTACACTGGATCAATGGTGTTCATATAATAATCACACTCACTCCTAGCATGAGTTCAATGTAAACCAGTGAACCACTCATGATACAGACATGGATTGGAACATATAGTTTAAATTGGTAAGATTTCATGACACATGGACAGAGTGTAATGACATGAGATGCTATTAAGTTTTAAGTAATGCATGGCGAGCAAATTTTGGGACGATTAATATAATTACATCATTGATCGATGATTGAAACAAAATAGATTAAAGAGGGCAGCTTGATGATAAATGTTGCTCTAAATGCAGAAAAAAACTGACAAAAAAAGGTGGTTAACTAGTGACCGAACAGAACAAAAACATTACACCATCATATCCCTCATACCAGTTCCAAAGAGAAACAGTATGAGCCATGTGAGCAATGATGCATCTAGCTGAGAGCTATAGTCTTGAAGAGCATGAGAGCCACTTGGAGCCTTGGAGAGGCTTTTAGTTAACTTACAGAAACCCCGTTATTATACATAATGTTAATAAGATATATTGATCACAAAACCAAACTAATAAGCGTCTGTATTATTTTGAAGTGTCCGAGAGTCTTATCAACACTGAATGTTCCTAGACGGGGCAGAAGTAATTTAAGATGCAATAAAGGATCAAAATCCATAGCACATCTATTGATCTATTGTCGCAATCATCTTTAAGGGCATATAACATAAAAATGGTAGTCTTTATGTGCAAGTGTTTAAGACAGTTTTCAAACTAAAAACCAGAACTAATCCAGTTCAAGGCTGGGTCAGGTCATCCTAATAGGCTTTAACAAAGCAACAAATCCAACTGAGAAACCTTGAGCTAGAGCTGCATACAGGCAAGCATGACTACAGCTCAATAAGCAGCACAACTCTGCTCTACAAAGTTGCATCAACCAGGGTTGGGGAAATAGTTGATCACAGAGACATTAAAAAGATAAAAATAGCACACAAACTAAAAAAAAAAAGCCAAGAAATCTAGAAAACATCGAGTATAAAAGGATCCTAAATTCCTAATATGTGAAGGCATGCTTACTCAAAAGAGGGAATCCGTGAAAACGCAGGTAATGGACACCATTGAAGACCAAACTGCACATGGAAACAACAAACAAATCAAAGTAAATAAACCTTTGCATATCAAAGCATTTACAGCTAACTGTCTTAGTATGGTATTGTGGAGAGATTAACAAAAGAAACAAACTTATTGCTTTATGAACAGTTATAATGTAGAATACTAATGATATGAACCAGAAGGTATGTAAATCCAGCAAAGCTGAAGGAAGCTTCATCAAGGATACTCCAACAAAAAAAACCCTAAATTATAAATACACAAATATCCCTGCATCAGCAATACAACAGCAGACAATAACGGGATCTTTAAGAGGCTTAAAGAGATGCAAATTATTCACAATGAGAAAAGAAACAATCGTGTAGGGTCATCACAACACTCAACACTCTAGAACTAAATTAGAGCTTCAATTACTATCGATAGCCTAAAAAATATATAAGTCCACAATATGCACCCTTCAAACAAGGACAACCACATTTCTTTAGGGGCAGGATTGGGTCCTTCCTTAAAGCCCAAATAAATTAAACACATCCGATCTTTATACATCCTCAATATAGTGAGGAAGAAGCAAAGCAGGTAAATAATTTCAGTTTCTTTGATTTGACTGCAAACAATGCAACATTTCCTAAATTTTCTCAAGGTTGTTGAGTACAAATAAGACAGTAATTGGTCAGTACACATGAGCATTCAACATTATATTGTGGTTGAAAACTCAATTTCCACAAAAACCACAGATATGTGAGCTACTGTGTCGATAAATAAAACTATATCTGAGCAACAAATGAATGCTTTCCACTTCATATATTATAAGAATCCCTCATCAATCTCACTCTACGCCACGCCAGGCCTTAAAGCAAAAGATTGGCTCTTGAATTTTGGTAATAAAAAGAGGAGTTAGATATAAACCTACACATTTACAATACACTGAGATGCTTTAGTTTTCCAAACCGATGCCCCACTACCCTTACTCCAAGGGACCCCCAAACGGCCAAACTGCAGGGGCATCTTACTTTCAAGTTACTAACAAAGTATTTTGAGTAAATGAGAGGAAATGGGAAATTTGCTAGAAGTAAAAATCAGATCAATTTCTTGTCTTACATCTAAGGAAATAAATTCTAATAATCCTTTTCAATCATGGTTCCAAATTCTTGTCAGATTAGATTTGCTTGCCCTAAAAAATGACCATCACCAGCGAAAGTGGGAAGACTCTTTAACTCACTCTGACCCATCGTTTTCCAACCAACCAAATACTCTCCTTCCATTCCACTTATCTACAATGTATCCTCAATGTCTCATAAATCCTCAAAGCCCTCTATTCCACTCAATAATTTAACACCCATGACCTTTGATCAAGACTCGAGGGCTTGCACATTGATCCTAATAGTGGGAACCAAGGTTGATTCTTTGTTTTTATTTTTAGTAGCTACTGATATTGTCAGAATAGTGGCAGAGATTTTGACATCAAGGGTGGGGCTCAGGGGCTGTTGGGTAAGAAAGTGGGGTGGCTGTGGATGGTTGGGGCTTGAGAAAAAGGTGTTAAACTTAGGCAGCCGAGTGTTATGATAAACAAAATTAAAAAGGTTGAATAAAAAATTCCCATAAACTTATTGCTTCAAAATAAGCAGATGACAACCCAAGAGTCACCGGACACCAATTTTGTTAATGAAAAAGAAATGACTAATAGTAACCAAATATATGGATTATAAATGAGGAGTGTGCAATCCACACTACAGCAAGTCGGTGGATCTATTGGTGCGTTAAATGAATATACACTCTGCTTTATTTTGAGTAAGCTTGAGTGCGCAATCCACAATTTATTGAGACCATGTAATTCACTCTACTTTATTTTAAGAAATGTCAAGTGTATATAGTTGCATGAATACACACCCAAATTTTTTAAAATAAAGCAGAGCGAATTACTTAGTCTCAGTTTTGGGGGCAGTGGAGGAAGTACATAGAGCCAAGAGAATGACTATTAAGCACATGAGAAGTCTTATGAATAAATGTCAACTCATAGGCAAGATTAAGTTGTCAGATAACAAAAAAGAAGCAGCCAGCCGAAATGAACAGAAAAGGCTGAATAGCTTTACTAAATTACTAACATTAATGTTCATGCGCATACAATGCTAAGTACCCAAGGAAAATATGAACATAGCTTGACTCGAAGTTGATATAAAATAAAGCAACCATTTTGATGCTCATAAAAACTGACAAACTATTTTTTATACTGACTATGATAAATAAACTTATATTGATCAAGATATCTGTAAATAAGTACCATCTCAGAGTAGTTTAGGTCATAAAGATCCTCATCATGGGGCCAGTCATCCATCATATCCGTAAATGAACGACAACCATTGGAAAAAAGCCATTGACCTTTCTCAATCTTCCGACAGTTTGGGCATTGCATTGATCCCTTGATATTGAAAGCAGAACCGATGCAATCTGCAGATCACCGCAGTTTATAAATATAGGATTGAAATATCAGCAAAGACAAATAGAGTAACACCACATGAAGCAGACCATCTACTACACAAGCAGCTTCCAAAATATTCAACATTGAAAAAACAATAACAGCATCAATTATTAGAAGTCGTGAGCATACTCAGAATAAACAACAATTTTCTCATGACGGAGGAAGAAATGGGAGAAAAAATCCCACAACCTTGTTTCAAAGCTTCCAAGGTTTAATTTTTCTTCTCCTACAATTCCTCGGAACAATTTTCACACATCTCCAAGCTAAAGCATTTGAATGCCTACTAACATGTCCTAATAACCTAAGTCTTATTTCCAGCATCTTAACATCAAAATGTAACAACCCAATTATTAGTATCATTTGTAATAACCTAACTCTTCTAATTTAACTACAAGACTGATAAGGTATCCTCATCTCTTATAACTTAAGATATCTTAAGCCCCGACCCTTTGTCTCATTAGAGTTGTCGATTAAGTTTGGCAGATATTTTGAGGAAGCCTTGTCATTTAAGCCATCCCTACTTTCTCCAAAATTACACTTCAGGCACATTATCGACTCTACAAAGTCCCTTCAAAGTTCTCACTTGCCATTGACACCGTGATTAATTACAATTACCATAACAATGAATTGAAACAGAGCATAGACAAATAGGCTAATTGCCTTTATGATCCATGTAAAGTTCTACCTTCTGAAGTTGTGATGAGAAAGAATTAAGGACAAAATCATATGATCATATCACTAAGATATCATGATATTCAACACAGTTTCACGAAACACTACAAATTAAGGACATACTCAGATGATCATGGAATACTAGAAGGCATGAGAGCATGAGGGACAAGAATTAGCCGGCAATCGCCCCGTGTTGCCCATAATACTAATCTTACAGGTTAACATCAATCCATAACTCACAACTCTCACGCTTAAATATTTTAAGAATAGCATAACCACCCATCCAATCCATGCAAAACTTCAAGCTCAATTTAATATTGTGATCATCTTTCTCAACAACCCAGTTGCCTTAAATTAATTCCCCCACCCCAACCACTAATTTTCCTATTTCCCAACTTATGTATTCAATTTTACCAGTTTTTCACGATAATCAGTAGCATAATCAATACAATTTCCGGCAAAATTCAGCACAAGAATCGGATCAAACAAGCAGCAAAACTAAAAACCTAGATCTCAAATTTCTTGACAAAAACACATACCCAGATGAAATTCGTGACCACATTGAAGCTTAGCCCAAGATCTATCACCATTGTCGGTGACAGGTTCGAGACAAATTGAGCAAGAAACATTGGATGAACTCAAAGATTTACCCCCACCATCAGCATCATCAATTGTATCGGATTCATCAAGTCCCATGACGTTATAATTAAGTTTAAATCCTCCCCCAATTCGATTAAGGAAACCCTAATTCATAAGTTTCCGAAAGATTCGATTATCACACACCCCAGAACAATCAAGCATAGAAATTAAAATTAAGATTAGAATTGAACAGTTTATTTCCGGTACAATTGAATTGTTGGTAGAATCAAAAGTAGAATCGTGAATCCAGAAGATAAGATTAAAGGGATTTTAATGGGGGAATGTGTGGTGAAGCAGTGGGGTGGTGTTGGAAAGAGAGGAAGGATGGAGGAGAGAGAAAGAAGACATAGATTATGGAAAACTGGAGGAGTTTGTGAGAACGGTGGACCCACCGTCAATATATTGTCTTAATCTATATACGTACTCCTTCGGTATATTTAACTGCCCCAGTTTAACTTTTAAGTTTTCACGTCCGTTACTGTAAAACTTTAACAGTTTAACAGAGTAATATTTTTAAATTACTTGTATTCGTTTGGATCAGTGTGGTTTTCTGTTTTTTAAAAGTATACTAGATGAATCTCGTATGATGCACGGTTTGTTTGAATTTTTTAAAATAATATTTTTACATATATATATATTTATGTGCTAAAAATTGTTAAATATTTAGATAAAATTCGTGATGTTAAAAGATAATATTTTATGTTTAATTAATTTAAATCGGATAATCTCATTCGCAAATTTTACTTGTCAGTTAAATTATTTAATTCTAAAAGAAATTAATAATCTCGTATTTAATTGGCTATCACTAAAATTTATTATCCTACGTGGCGCGCTGAAAAAATTAAATCTTACGTGGCTCTCTAAAAACTCGGGAAAAAAACTCCCCTTTATATATATATTAGTTTTGTGCCCCGTGCGATGCCCGGATTGTCTATTGAATTGTAATATAAATTTTTAATCTATATATCAAGTTTTAAAATATATCATTGATACAAATTAATTAGGAATTGGATGTGCTTTTGTGACGATTTGCTATCTAATAGGAATGTAATGACTAATAATAATGTCGGTGGAAATGCTCGATTTAATACACTAAAAAAATAGCAAAAATAAATTAAATGAAATAAATGTTCAAAACCCTTTGAGTTAATCTGAACCTAAAACTTTGGGCAAGAGTTGAACATTGCTTGACTCATAATCTGAAGTGACCCAATTCGAGATGACTCGTGACCCGACCCTAATTGATGGGTCTACATAGTAATAAAATTCTATTAAATTGTGAAATACTCATATTATTTTAGCCGATTAGTATACATTATAAATGGATGTGTTATCCTTTGAACTATATTAGAATTATAATCTAATAATTTTTTTAAATAAAATTATAATTCAATTTGTACATCTGAAGTATTGGTATTTTATTGAAAATAAAACTCTAAACTAACAATTTTATCCTAAAATTCTATCCAAATAGAATTTTATACTAACTTTTTTTATCTTATAATGAAAAGTCTATTTAACTCTATACTACGTGGCACGACACTTGGCGAAAAGTTGGAACGCTAAGTGTCATCGCTACCTTGTGACCTGGCTAAAAATTTAGCTTTATATATTAGTTATATGATATATTAGATTATATATGTCATATAATGAATCAAAAATTATTTTGACTTATTAAAATCATGATAATTTTGAAAACTGACAACAGAAAAGTAAAAACACATATTTCTTGTTTCCTGTTTTTGATTTTTAGTTTTCAAAAAAACAGGAACCTGAAACCCAAAAATGATGCCAAATAAACTCTAATCAGTTCAGTTCAATTTAACTCCTAATTTTCTTCTCTCATAAAATATTCATTTCATCTTTATTCAGTTCAACTCTAATCGATTCAATTTAGTTCATTTCAGCTCAGGTCGGTTCAGTAAATGTGAACAGACCCTAAATTGTATGGAGTACTAAGTTTATAAATATGAGTTGTTCTTGAACTTAAGCACGGTTCACTTCATCTTATAAAAAATAATATTCAATAAAAATAATTTCAGTACAGCAAAACTAATATCAGTTAAGTAAAAAAAAAGTTTTATTCAGTAAAAAAAAGTTCTACTCATTAAAAAACGGTAATTTGAGACTTAGTAAAAATAATTTCAATTCAGTAAAAATAATTTCATTTAAGCAAAAATAAGGTAAGGTGAACAATACTCTAAATTATTTTTATTAAATTATATTATATTTATTGAAATTAGATGGATTTAAATTAAACTTAAATTATATTTTAATTTTTTTTTCTAAACTTAAATTATATTTATTGAAAATTTAAATTAATTTTATTTAGCTTCATTTTTTTCATTAAGATTATATTATTTTTCTTAAAACTAAAACTAAATTACGGGAAATCCTCAACTGTAACCTCTAACTTTTGCTACACTAAAATGATAGCCCCGTTTTTTATTTAAAAAAAAAAATATAAAATGACACTAATTATAAAATTTTCAATAACATGTTAACACATAAATAAATTAGTTAAATGTCAATTGTCATCATCACCAATCTACCTCCTTACAACGTCCATCTCCACCACCATGGAACCCCCTCTTGCTCTCCACCTACTAGCCTTTTCCCTCTCGATCTATTTCCTTCATTGATACTGACACGAAGCCCCAATACTCATCCTTTAACCTAAAATCAAAGTTGAAACCTCAATCCCCACCCTTACATGACCCAAAACCCTAGCTCTAACAGCCAACCCCCTAACCTGATCCAAAACTCAAACCCTAAATCCCCACCCTTATGGCTTACTTAACCTGAGACCCCAATTGCCAACGGGGAGCGAGTGGCCCGACCCCTTAGATTTTTTTATAAGTTGTTGGCTATAAGTAGTATGTTGTCCAATAAATGCACATATAAAGTTCTGATCTAAAGGTTAAGTATGTTCTTTTTAGCTGACGAAAAATATTTGCCTCTGACAATCAAATTAGAAATCGAAAACTAAATATCAAAAGAAGAAGAAGAAGAAGAAGAAGAAGAAGTTGAAGCATTTTGGGAATGTGTCTTGAATATTGCAATAATGTGGCTTGACTGGTTTCCCAATTAGAGAACGACATGTGCTCCTGGGGGGGAGGGGGGGGAGGAGAATGGGGGCACCGTCATACGATGTTTACTTGGGGTAGTGAGCTTTTGAGCCTTTCATCATTAATTTCTTTTAATGTCACATGACATGCTCTAGTTATTTTATCCTGTGTTGGGTACCACGAGTCAATCAGCTTGAGATTAGACTATTCGACCATGTGTTGCACTCTAGTTAGCCGTTTTTGTAGGTGAGAACTATCATATCAATTCAAAACCTCTCAGGTCAACTTGATCTTGATTAGTGGACTACACACATTGAGAGTGACGGACTATACCTTACATACTAATAGATTATTTATCTTGTTATGTATCATGTATGTATGACCCTAATTTATTAGATGAAACCCAAACTATGTGGTTCATTGTCATCATTGTTTGTTTTCTTAAATGATTAAAAGTGGTAAGGGCAACAATTGTTTGATGAATATAAACATTGAAGAAATTGGAATCAAAAGTAATCTTAAATCTTAATAAGGGAATACAAGCATTTTGGCCTTTTGGCCTCAGAACTTGAGAATGCAACAATTATTTAAGAACAAAGTTATAGTTAATCTTAGACTCATGACTACTCCAACGTGATTAATTCCTTTAGAGACCAACTCTAGCTACACACCTTTAATACTGAGATCGATATAGTGACACTTCAATAATATGGGATTTGATTTTGTGGTATATACTCAACCTATGAATTACATATCGTATCTTATTAATTAGTATGAAATTATCATATATGAACATATTAGCTTTTATTTTACCTTATCTAATCTCACCACCCCTTATCCTATGTATTATTTCATTTCTATTAATGAACAATTATTTTGAACATGTTAAGTTTGAAACCAATTAATATATGATGAAAAAAGCCTTTGTAGAGATAAAATAAAACAAACTAGTTACGAATATGACATATTTCTGCCTTATGATATGAGACCTTCCCATACTAAATTCTCCCAAAACACAAAATCTAGAATTGTCACAATTGTACTGTGTGTAAGTGTTCAAGTCCAAGTCCAAGTCCAATCATACAAAGAGTTGCACACTTGCACAAACGGAGTACTAGTAGAAGAGAGGTGTTCAAAATACCAAAAAAAAAAAATAAAAAAAAAAATAAAAATTTGTGAGAAATATTCCTGAGAACAAAGATAATATACTAAAACCCTAGATATATAAATATAGAAAGGGAGTGCACCACTGAAACTCCTCTCTTGTTCACAGCCTTTTTCTTCTCCTCTTTTGGTTGCGTAACGAATCTCAATTCACTGTTTCAAGGTAGGAGAGAGAGAAAAAGTCTGCAACCATGCTCGTTTACCAGGACCTCATTAGCGGTACTTATTCTCTCTCTTCCTTTTTTTTTTTCCAATTTTTTTTGGGTAATTTTGTATGTATTTTTCTGGGTATTTGGATTTTCTGTTTGATTTAGTGTTCTTTACTATTGATTTTGTGTTTGACTGGAAAGTTAGGGTTTTAATTTTGTGGGGTTTATTTGGTTGATTGGATTGATTGCGATTTACTGTAGCTGCATGTTTTTCATATGCGACAAAGCTTATGGTTTGATTAGTTGTTGGAATTTATTGTTGATGATTAGATCTAGGTGATTTGATTTATTTACTGGGGGTTTTAGATTTAGGGTTTATAGATTTATTTGGATTTCAAAGTTTATGGAATTGTGATGAAGATTTGTCTAATTTTTGATCTATTCAGATAAGTAGATCTGGGTTTTGTATGATTTATGTTACAAGATTTCACCTTTTGTGTAATTGAACTGTAGTGAGATTTGATTTATATCTAACTTGCAAAAAATTTGATGGGTATTTTTGGTCGTTTGATCATAATTGAATTTTGTGATTTTTTAATAAATCACTGAAAGCTTTAGGAATAGATATGTAGGAACTCAATTTTAGTATAAAGGCAAATGTTTTAATTTTGAAGTGCTGCTTTTAGATTGTGAGATTTGTTAATCTGTATTTGTTTGATTGTTATCTAATGGATTCATCCTAACCTTGGAATTATTAGGTGATGAGCTTTTGTCCGACTCATACCCCTACAAGGAGCTCTTCAATGGATGCCTTTGGGAGGTAGATGGAAAGGTATGAATCTGTACAAAACTGTTCATTTCTGTGAGTTTATGAATTATATTTATCGGGTTTGCAACTGAATTGATGTGATATTATGTGTTTATGTACTTGCAGTGGGTTGTTAAAGGTGGTGTTGATGTCGACATTGGTGCCAACCCTTCTGCCGAAGGTGCTGGGGAGGATGAAGGTGTTGATGACCAGGCTGTCAAAGTTGTTGACATTGTCGACATCTTTAGGCTACAGGTAATGGTCGTCTAGTTTTGTGGTTATGTGGGAAGTTGCTAGATAAATATGCCATGTAGCTGATATTCTTGTTTTACAGGAGCAACCTGCCTACGACAAGAAGCAGTTTGTTGCATGGGTAAAGAGATACATCAAGAACCTCACTGCCAAATTAGAGCCTGAGCAGGCTGACGGGTTCAAGAAGAATGTTGAGGCAGCAACCAAGTTTCTCATGTCAAAGCTCAGCGACCTTCAATTGTATGTTTTTATACTTTGACAAACATTACTTGTGATGCTAAATTTGACAATTCATACTTTAAGAAAGGTTGCATGCATTAATCTTAGTGACCTTGCTATATTCAATAGGGTAATGAAACTAGATGTGGTAATTGTGTTAGGATCTAAGTAGTTCAGTCTTTGTTGGAGTTGGGTTGAGAGGATGTTTGATACTGTAATATTATGCTGTTGCATTATTAGTTAATTGCTATGGAAGTGTCATCGGTAGGGTTTAGTATCCTGAATAAGTGGTTATTTACAACAGAATATGCCTAATTATTCGTGCTGTGCAGTTTTGTCGGTGAGAGCATGCATGATGATGGTGCAACAGTCTTTGCTTACTACAAGGAAGGTGCTTCCGACCCAACTTTCTTGTACTTTGCTCATGGCCTGAAGGAAATCAAGTGCTGAGTGAACGAGCTGTGCTAAACATCTCTCAAGAGGTGTTTGACGTAATTTAAGCTTTCTAGGTTAAGCTGTTCTAAGTTTTATTTTTGCTGTATTTTTGTTAATTCTTGTTGTCGACTTATTGTATGTTTTGACAATGTGGGATGGTGGCACCAGTTGGTTAGCCTTCCCTCGTGTTACTGTTTTGCTTGATTGAGACTGGATATATTAATATATATACAAGCGATTTGAGAATAAGCAATCTATTTATTGTTGATTGTACAATTCGTTATCTATGCTGCATCTTTGGTCCCTACTCTGTTTCTGATGTAGGCTGGGGTATGTGCATCTGCACTACTTCGTACTTGTCCAAGTATAGCAGTAGAGATTCTCAGGGTATTAGAATTGTGCAAATCAATGGGTGCCGTCTTCTGCGACCTGCTTAATCTAGTTACATATTGGATTGAGAGCTCATCTATTCATCTTGGGTGTTGCTGAGATATATGTCCTATTTTGCAGCTGAACTGATACGAGGGAAAGGAATTAGAAATTGAATGTGCATCTTATGTTGAAATTTGATAGTATGGGTGTTTAGTTGTTTACCTGAATGACGTGCACATGTGTCATATACATGCTCGATATAAGAATTCATAACATTTTTAAGTAGAACAATAGTTATGGGGAATAGACGAATAGTTATGGTCGAAATTGAAGTGAGATAACTCGTGGATTTAAAGCCTTACCCATAAACTGGTTTGGGATTTTGTCTTAGGAATAATTTGGGACAACCGATCCTAGGTTCTTAGTAACTTCAATTAATTTGGGTTGACATTATGTGATGACTGATGAGACATGAAACTTGCGTAGGTGGAAAATTTAGTATGATTTGGATCGAAGAAAAGATAATCTTAAAATATGCGGCAGATGGACATTTATTATTAGCTTATAAACATTTTGACAAAAGTGCAAATTCAACTTCATCACTTGTGTTTAATAAAGAAATTGCAAATTGCATGCTCTATCTCTCATGCTGACATTTTTTTATCAGCCAATTGGATAGTAAAAAGATTGTTTTATGCTACTAACATTTCATGAAATCCTTAATGAGTGCAAACTGTGCTAAATTGAAGCATGAGGATTCAAGTTTATGTAGATAAACTCAGCATTCTTGATGAATTCTAGTTTCAGCATTTATGTAGAACTCAGTCTTCAGATGGCAGTAAGATGTGGTGTAACTAAGCTAGTCATCCAAATGGACAACAAGACTTGTATTGAAGCGCTACAAAGTGATCAAGTGCAAAGAGGCGAGTATGTGCACATTATCAGGGAGTGTCGTAGGATCATTAGTTCTTTCAGTCAAAACTGAGAGAGTTAAGTATTTTCATACCACCCCGATCAAAATACATTACTCTCCGTAGGTTTATTGCTTAATTTTTATTGTACTCGTTTCAGGCCTTGCCCTCTTTTGAATCTTAAAAAAAAATAAAATAAAAAAGAAAACCGAAATTTGCAGGTTATACACAGAATCTCACAAGTCGTAACTGACTTCCTATATTTAAAAAGGAGCGAGGAGTTCGATACTTGTGGTATATGGAGATGGTAAGTTGGTGACGCTAATAAGTTGCGAGTAGATTATTGCCAGCCACCAAGCAGCAATGATTTAATGATCACAGAGTTACTATTTTCAGAGGGGAAATACATGGAAATGGTTTGTTTTAATTTTTAAAAATTTCCATCTATAATAAAGGGAAAAACCGAGAACACACACCGATATGTCATAGTCTCAAGTTCTGGCGTTTCAAAAAAAGATCAAAATACTGAGAAGATGTTGAATTTAAGTAATGCAATAAATCGTAGTTGAATCATCAATGAGCCAAATTTATCATCTATTGAAACTTTGGAAAACACCACGAACCTTTGAGCCACCAAGCTCACCAATGAAAGCCTATTTGCAAAATAGCTAAAATCTGATATTACAGAAAAAAAGAGAGCTCTAAGCATAGTAATTCAAGCTTGCTTTCTTCTTAGCTTGAACTTGAATGATGCCTTCGTTGAAGTCTTCATGGTTCACCTGATAAAAAAAAACAAGGTTAATTAAGCAAGCTTGATGGAGAGAAGGAGAGGGAGACAATTAAGTCAGCAAATTAGCACAGGAGAGAGAAGGCACCTCAGTGGCATCTCGGCGAAGAGCCAACATGCCTGCCTCTACACAGACAGCCTTCAATTGTGCTCCATTGAAATCATCTGTCGACCGAGCTAATTCTTCAAAGTTCACATCTGGGTGAACATTCATCTTCCTTGAATGGATCTGCAACAGAGATCCAATGAAATCGATAAATTGAACAAAAGAGACAAATTTGCCAAAACACTTAAAAATTTCTGGAATACAAACCTGCAGAATTCGAGCTCTAGCCTCTTCAGTAGGGTGAGGAAATTCAATTTTACGGTCCAATCGACCAGAACGCATGAGGGCAGGGTCCAAAATATCAGCCCTATTGGTAGCAGCAATGACCTGGAATATATAAATTGAGATTAAAATAATTACGCAATCTAGAGAGGTGTCAGATTTAAGAAATTGATGATAAAAGAGCATTTGAACTTTTTTTATTTTTGGGATAGAGTAAAAAAGTTAACCTTGATCCTTTCATCACTGCTAAAACCATCAAGCTGATTTAGCAACTCTAACATAGTTCGTTGCACTTCTCTATCACCACTCACTTCACTGCAGTGCAAGAAACACATAGATAGCAGAAAATTACAATAATGAACCATCACTGATAGAAGTATTGGTAGATAACTTGAGCTTGCTTTCGATTTCTTGTCAATTTATAGAGCAAAAACAGAACATATGATTATAGGTCTTATACAATGGTGACAGGATTGCTCACCTGTCAAACCGCTTGGTACCGATGGCATCAATTTCATCAATAAATATGATGCAAGGAGCCTTCTCTTTCGCAAGTTGAAAAGCATCACGTACAAGCTTTGCTCCATCTCCAATGAACATCTAAATCAATTGAAAATAAGAAACTTAGACAACACCTAAATTTGCCACTGCAAAGTTATTTAGGATCTGCCTATAAAATTAAAAATGCATCACATGAAAAGCTACTTCCACTGTCACTTTTTAACCTTTACATTTGGAATTTATTTTGTGAGAAAAATGGTCAAAGGGTAAAGATTAAAAAGTGACTGAAGGAGCAACAAATTTTTTTTTATGTTAAAGATATCATAGTCATGGATAATCAGATCAGTTAGCAAGCAAGAGATTCTTAAAAGTGTCCTCAACCTATGATGGCTATGAATACACAACAGATTTGAAGCCACATCTAACCAGCAAAATTACCATCTCCATGAACTCAACCTCACTATGAATAGAAGATCTTAAACATGTTCCACAAAAATGTCTTAGCCACTAACGTTACTATGAATTGCAGAACATCCATTTTACGAGTAGTCTTCAACTTCAACACTGTTCCTGTATGCATATATCTCCTCTCTTCACTACCTCTCAAGTCCCAACCCAAGCACTCCATGAGCACATACAACATGCTAAAACCCAGATTATCATCCACTATCATCACCATTAATTACCAACCTCAAACAACACCACCAATAAAATTTTCAGGTTGTGATTTATACTGAAAAGTGGAGATAAAAATATGCAGATATAGGGCAATTAGAAATTAGAAAGAATAGAATTTGAAATAAAAGGCCTAGATTAATGGTTTATGATCAATTGATCTAAAATATGAAGGTGTCATCAGAGTTGTCCAAATTCAGAAAAAAAAGCAGCAAGTACGATGATGAGGTTTCTATGATCTGGAGAAGAGGAAAGACAACATTGATAAAGAGTTAAGGAGTGCTGGTGGGAGATAGGATTGCAGTCATAGCACTGCTAGTCGTCAATCTTCAGGAATCAGTAGGCATTTTAGCGGAGACAATGGAGAAGGTGGAGTGGGGTAGGCTGGTGGGATGGATGGGCCAGGATCAAGGAGGGAGGAGACGTTACTTTGGTATAATGTGAAGGGAGAATAAGTTTAATATGAGACATAGTCATTCTTTAAAATAATAAAGGCATTATAATACCTGTTAAAGTTTTATTTAATGAGCAAAATGGCTACCCAAGAAACAGTTTGGAGAAGCTTTAAATTCTGTTTCTCAGATTTGGGCTAGTTGAGAACCTATTTCTATAAGGTATAATTTCACACACCAGAGATTGTAATCTATAGGAACTTCCTAATTCATAAATTCCTGCAAATAGTAATCTATAGGAAACTCTCCTGATTAGAGTTTCATATAATGAATTCAACATAATCTTTAAGTAAGCATTGTCAACCCTTCTTGTCCTATAAAGCTGACATATTAACATACTATACAGTCCCGTGATCTGAAAACAGGCAGGTGAGGTAAAAAAGGAGCTTCGGTCATCTCTCTAGTAGTGTGTAAATTAATCAAATCAGAAGCAGAAGCAAACTCTTACACAGACCATTCAGAAATAATTTAAACTCTAAACAAGCCTGAATCAGCAGCATCTAATAGCAGAAATAAACAAACCTGGACAAGCTGAGGGCCTGCTAACTTCAGAAAAGTGGCATTTGTTTGTGCTGCACATGCTCTTGCCATGAGAGTTTTCCCAGTTCCAGGAGGACCATAAAGTAGCACTCCTTTAGGTGGGCGGATTCCTATTGTCTGGAATCGCTCTTTGTGTGTCATTGGCAAAACTATAGCCTCAACAAGCTCTTGGATCTGTAGAAGCGAGAACAATTATTTACACGTCCAAAAAAAGGGCTAAGTTTAATGGTAGAGAAAACTAGGGGGAAAATTACCTGTTTCTCTAAGCCTCCAATGTCACTGTAATCTTCAGTAGGTTTCTCATCAACCTCCATTGCCTTTACTCGAGAATCATACTCTGAAGGCAGTGTGTCCAGGATCAGATAACTATCTTTGTTGACTCCAACTAAATCACCAGGCTTTAGCTTGTCAGGATCAACCAGACCAACAACAGGCAGAAATATTGTCTGCAGAGAATCAATATAAACGCAAAATTAGTCAAAAACCCTAAAAATGACACAGCAAATAATTGTTTCTGTTACAAAGTGACATCACAAAGACAAACAAGGGCAGTTTCTATACCAAAAGTTCAAATCGACAATGTTTCTAGGGTTTTTTTTTTTGGTTTTTTCTTTTTTTTTTAATTAAAAATCAAAGTAAAGTCCGAAAACCCTAATAAGCAAAGCAGTAAAATTGTTAGATCACTTAAATGTAAAGATGTCACAGAAGTACAAAAAACAAATAATGCCTCCCCTCCCCCACACCACCAACACCCCCCCCCCCAAAAAAAAAAAAAAAAAAAAATTATAGCCACAAGGTCCAATAAAGAACAAAAATAGCATACACATTAATAATTTCAACACCACAAATCCTAAATGGCACAGTAAAAGCACTAAGATAAGCACACCTGTCTGGTTGATGTTTTAAGCACAACACACTTTCCTTTTCTTTGTGAGTCAAGATCAATATTAGCACCATCTTCCTCAGCTTCATCTTCTGGATTCATTTCCAAGATCTGTGAGAGATAGAAAAGCAAGAAATTAGGATGGCCAGGCTGCGATAGCACTATATATATATATATATATATATATATATATATATATATATATATATATATATATATATATATATATATATATATGGTCTGCTAATAATCAACCAAATAATGTTAAACCTCTATCAATATTTGATTGATTCATATTTCATGTCCACTAAATGGGATACATCTCAAAATGGGGCTAGTCTACCATAAGGAGTACTTGAGCAACAAAATATGTATACATAGATGAAGTCCACCAAAGCACATGTAAATACGAATAATCGGGATTATGCAAGATAAGAACTCAAAATGATTAATATCCTTGTTTATTTAAAGAAGATAAATTTATTTAAGGACTCGTCAATTTAAATAAAGAACCATTTTATAATACTATCCCCGTTTCTTTTTTGTTATCTCATCTAAAATCTTTGTAAATTCTATTATAAATGGAAACTAATACTCTCTTAAAAATATAAGGTAAAACAAAGCTACATGGGATCTTGTTTAATTCGTCTCAAATGTCTTGATGTGTAATTTTTAAATATTATAATTTTCAAAATGCATATGAAGATATTTACTTTTGATGATTGAATATGTGCATTGGAAATTGTGCAAATAGTGAAATGAGACAATAAAAAAGAATCAAAGGTATACTATTGTCGGAAATTGGTATTTTGTTACCAAATTAGGCCAAAATATGTAAACCTTTTGGAAGTCACGGTCAAAGAACAGTAGAAAACTACACTTATGGCAGATATAAGACTACACCATATGCCAGAAATCCAGCAACCCAATTGATCCTCTATAAGCCTTCCAAACATCCAATTATACGGGGACTTTCAGAGAAGAACACTAAGCAGAAGCTTGATTATCCCTTTTTAGCATTAAATTAAGCAACAAACTGATACCAGATCACTAATTACAATCTCAACCAATGTGGATTAAACTATTTCATGATGACCATTACATTTGGTGTAAAAATCCGCAACTTAACCTAAACATAAAGTTAATTTTCCTTCTTATTCGTTTTCATTTTACTTTACTTGTCATTCAAAATGAGAGGGACACCACAACCCATGCTACACTATGAAGAAGCTCAAATCTTAATCTAGTAGGCAATTGACTCCCAGATGATAAGCAACAAAAACAACTCATCTTCCCCTCGAATCCCTCGAATACTCTAAGTAAAGGCAATTGACTCCCAGATGACGAGCAACAAAAATAACTTATTTTGCTCTCGAATACTCCAAGTAACTTAATCGTGACCCCAAGAAAAATTGAATCAGGAGCATACACAATTGAGTTTCTAAAGATCAGTAGTAAAAACCCTAATTGCACATAAGAACAATTTAACAATCAAATCAAATCAACATTCATAAAATTGAAGCTTCTTGAAACTATTTAATAAAATTCACTGAAATTCAATAAACAAAATTAGAATCCAACAAGAAAAATAGAATCACAATCAGTACCTCAACAATATTGCCGACGAGGTAAGGAAGTTGCTTATTAAGCTTGATTTTCTCTTGATTCTCCTTTATCTTCTCCTTGAATGAATCCAATTCTAAAGTCGTCCTCTGCACATCCTCCTATACAACCAAAAACCACAATAAAAAACTCACAAAAAAATCCAATCAAACTAATTCACAAAACTTCAAACCCTAAATCGAAATTCCGCCATTATCAAGCTAAAAAGAATCAAAAAAAGCAAAAAAGGAAACCTTAAGGATGCGAATCTCGTTATCGAGAATGCGAGAAGCCCTAACGATGTCTTCAGTGGTCAAATTGGCGAGTTGGTCTTCTTGGAAGTTAGGATCTTCCGACATCGCCGCCGCTGACGCCGACGCCATTGAAGGTACTGGAAGTTTCCGACGAGCTGATGCGGCGAAGAGAGAGAAAGACCGGCGAGTGGAGAGAAGGGGCTGAGACTGTGTGTTGCGCAAGAAATGAACCAAAGATTTTATGAAGCGAGAAAGTGTGTTGAGTCGAGTTGTTCGATTTTTTTTATAGGGTCTCCTGGTTGTGAAATCTTTTTAGTCAAGCTATCTGAAAATGGCTCAATATCTCACATTTGCATAGATATAGAACTAAATGTCGGGTCGTTTAGGTCGGGTTGGGTCTCCTTGAGGTTCTTTTCGGTTATTGGTTGAATAGGGAATAATGGTTAACCCTTAACATTGAAATATAGACCGAATGCTCAAGTGTTTGATCTAAGCACCTAACTTTGAATGGGCATGGGTTCGCATATGAATTCTATTATGGTTGTTCGAATGCTCAAGTTTAGAGCTACATTCTAAGTTAATGAAGTACTTTGATAGTTATTGAAAATTTCGTTATGCTCTGTATTAAACATTTTTAGGATTTAACATATGTAGTACGGAGTACAAAGTTTGATTAAACAAAGAACATATAATAGTGGTTTCGTTCTTGATTTTTTTTCATCACAATTCGATCAACATTAGTTATGGATGTGTTGCCACGTTTTTTCACCATCTACATTTGTACATTAAATGAAAAAAAAAAAACCTCCAAGATGCAAAGTTAAGAAGGATTTTTTTTTTTTTTTTTTTTTTTTTTTTTTTTTTAAAAAAGAAACCCTTGCATAGTTAGTTAGTTACATCTATCAAAGTACCATGGCAAGATTTTTTTTTTTAAAAAAGTGCATTACAACAACTGAAACTTTTACATGATTTTGCCAATCTTTACAACGGTATGGAAGTATGCAGCAACAGAAACCATGACTATACAATGGTGAAGTAAGTACAGCTAGAGCTTCCAGTAGATCTTGAGCTGGTGCAGAATGCCAGAAACAACAGCCCAAAACAGGATTTCTGCAAAGATCACATACAACAGGATTCCAACTCGTTTTGAATGCCAAACTCCGATGAAAACATGCTGTTGAATCCAGTATACCTGCAGCACAGTTATCCAACAATACTTTTAGATTGCGGCATGAATCTTATTTCGAGTCTCTTTGACTAATATCAAACTGAACTGAATTTAAAAGTGGAAAATTTGACTCAGATTTCACACAGGGAAGTAGGGAACTAACTCAATATGATTCGGTAAAGATACAGTGTGAGTCATGTGGTACAAACTTACCAGTGTATTATGTGGATCATCATAGTACCACCCGTTAATAAATCCTGCAAAAATCCCCTCAGCAGCCATAACAAAGACAAGCATAGCATTCATGCCAATCCACTTGAATGGAAGAAACAAAAACTTAACATCTAAAGTGTCAACCTGCCATGAAATTTCCATCACAAGTTGGAAGGGATATGGAAGCGAAAATCATGTAGAAGCTTTTGTTAAAGTAATGTACCAGCACATAGAAGACTGAGAACACAAAGGCTGCTGCACCAGATGTCACACAAACGTAGCTGAAAGTATATAGCTGCTTGTTCAAAGGGATCGCTGTTTTTAGAGGTCAAGAGATTGATGAAAACTTTCAGGAATAAATAGTCAACAGATCAACTGAAGTCCCCCCTCCTCCAACCATAAAAAGATTTTAAGAAATTTTTGGATTTACCATTGGTGAAATGAAGCAAAAATCCTAAGATAAGGAGGGCAAGACCCATTGAAACCCAATGCTTCAATCTGCCGGTGTGATCCTGTAAACATTGAAGGAAAAATTCAGTGGAGCGGAAAAAACATTACTTGAAACTGATTGTGTTAGTATTTCAATATAAAAGGGCCAACCTTAATGTGAATAAGTACATGGCCAAAATGTACTCCAATGATTGTTGAAAGTATGGCAGATATTGAGCTGCATTTCCACGAGGAAAAATGATTTAAAGAGCAATCTTTCACGGCCAAAATCATTGCAACCTCTTGGACAGTATAGTTAGCAAGGTGGAAGCAGAAAATAAAAGGTAAAAAAAAAAAAAAAATGAAGTTATCATTCAATTAATCATCACTCATCAACCACAAACAGGAACATAAACTCATTAACATGAAATTAATGAAGTACCAACCTTAAAATCCCTTCGGGATCAAATGGTGCATGACACCAGGAGGGAGCATTTTCTAGAAGAGGCCCCTCGTAAGGAGATTTTGCAGTGCAAGCCTGCAGTACTTCCAACAAGCACAACAAATCATAGCTTTTATTAAGGATTTTATAGGACTAATTAGGATTTTCCTTTCAGCTAATCTGTTCTTTGTTTAGTTTCGTTACACTATAATACATGCTTAAGTTCATCTCTCACCTTAGATCTTTTCCATGCTGGATGTTTATACACATGATTAATCCCTAGCAATATTCTATCAACATATCCAACTGCATTACATGGAGGGTCTAATTTTCCTCTGACACCACACGTCACCTGAGACAGTTCCATAAACACAGGGAAAAAAGGCAAAATGTTATGGCTTGATTCTCATCAACCTTCCAAGTCTAATAAGTTTCTGGAATTGGAAAAAAGGTAGGAATACCAGAACATAATTTTCGTTAAATATTAGACTTAAAAAATTCAATAGAACCAAGAGAAAGATGTCACTTCATGCATCGATATCCCACAGACTTAACAATCAAAGGCAAAAATAATCAGTGATTTCTGTAAACGAATCCCATAATAAGGCCCCGTTTGGTTTAATGTAAAACATTTTCAATGGAAAATTAATTTTCCTGGAAAACATATTTTCAAGGAAAAACACAATTGCAATTAGTTTTCCTTTGTTTGGTTGCATATAAGAAAAGTCCAAGAAAAATAAAAAAAAAAATAAGTGGAAATGTAAGGATGAATGAGAGGGAAGTAAAAAAAGAGGTAAAAGAGGAGAGAGGAAAATGTGGCTTCCCTTGTTTTGGGAAGGAAAATGTTTTCCATCATTAAAAATGAAATTTCCCCCCCTTGGAAAAATTGTTTTCCACCCCTTAACAAACCAAACAAAGGAAAATGGGAAAAAACGGAAAATTCATTTTCCATGAAAACCTTTTACATCAAACCAAACAGGGCCTAAGTTAAACCACTCAATATTGATTACACATTAAGTAAGGTCTGCAGAGGTCAATTTGCACATATTTTTACCCTTAACAAGTCAAGATTAGTAGAAAGGCTGTTTTCTGAAGTCCCAGTGAAACCATTTTCAAGTGAAAAAGTACTTACGAGAGTACGAGACTATTGAAGCCTTGAAGGTAGTACTTAGGGTAGCAGTTTAAAATTTGGCAGTCCTACTATAGTAAGACAAGAGTTTCTTCTACATAAATACAGCTCAGATATTGTGAGCAAAGTGCAAGCAAGGGATGACTAACAGTGAAATGTCTCCCATAATCGGGGCTCTCTGCATTCTGAACAGTGAATTCCCAATCGGGGACGTATACTCCATAGAGCACAGAGAAGTAAATAATAAGAACACATGCTCCAACCACCCTACAAATTCAAGATCAATAAACAAAACTGTTAATGTCAGAACATCCCAAATTTACAAGCCAAGAGTAGATGAAATAACAGCGATCAGCAAGGCCTTTTAAACAAGAAATTTACACACCACTGCCAGCAGTATAACTTAAATATGGTGAATCGGCCAGATAATTGATAATTGTCTTGAAAGGATTTAGTTGCTATCTCCAGCAAGGCTACAACCAGATATGACAGAGCAATTCTCTGCAAATAGATCAGATTTGGTTCATCAAACCCAAAGTTTCACTTTCAGAACTTCAGTTTGATGGTTTCGATAGGGAGAGAGAGTTACATCACCTGGAGAATTCCACACCACCTTATTCTTTTCATGTCAACTCCATATGTCAGTTTGTCAGGAGCATGAGAATACCCTCCTTAAGATCAATGAAATTTCTAGTGTCAGCTTCTAACTTTTCTTCTTGTTATTTTTTTACACTTTAGCTTATAAAGATTAAGAACATATATATAACGACTATAATCATGTTTAGTTCGTTAAACTAACCTTGTAAAAGGATGCCCCATAAAAGAAGTTTAAGGGTTCTAAAGATTACTTTTCTGCTAGCCATAAGTCGGTCCGGTACCCTCTGATAAAGATAAGAAAACACAAAGCGCAACCATATATTATATGTATATTCTTCCAATTAATCGGAGCACAAGGAATTTGTATGTCACTAGCATTCCAAAAAAATCCAACCTTGAGGGCTAAAGGAATTGCCATGCCAACAATGAACAAGAAAAAAGGCATTACAAAATCAGCCAAGTTGCAGCCATTCCATGGTGCATGTGTAATCATAGGCCATTCTCCTCCAGCATCATCCACTAAAATCATCAGCTACAACAATGATAGTTTTAAGTCAATAAGAGCCAACAGCTGGTGTAATAAAACAACGACCACAACAACAACAACAACAAAGCCTTAGTCCCAAAATGATTTCTTGACACCGTTCCATATTTTTCACACAAATGTTTAAACACCTCTTCTCTACCCATTTAAATCTATTCCACCCACAAGGCCAAAAGATATCCAAGTAAGGAACAAAGAAAAATCTCGACAGTAGCATGGGCCTGTTGAACCAGTACACAAGCCTCACAGCTTAAATGCCCAGGACATGTTCTATGCAAGTAGCATGATGTTTATTTTATATATTAAGGAGATTGTATGAAGATAGAAAAAGAATTTCCAAATTTTCTCTTGATCCCCATGAGATAATAGAAGGCAGATATATTCCTCCCACAACACCTATTGAAGTTTTTTGAAGCAATTCTAAAACAAGTTCTTTTGCACTGGATAATCAATATACCTTTTGTATCAATATGAACATGACATCCAAGTCACAAAAACAGGTCAAATGGCTAACAAAATGAGACCTTCAATCTCATATACAATGTTCCTAGTTATTCTTTCTGATTAAATTGTTTGGTCAAGGATGAACAATGTAAAGATTTATAATCTACCATAAAAAGGAAAGTGATGTAGACGAAATTTAATCTCGGGTATTGGGGGTATTTAAGTCCTTAACCAACTAAGCTCATTGGAATTTAATAACATGGTCACATTCAGATTTCAATATTCAAATTCCCAACTCAAGAATTAAACCTCTGCAGAAAACAGTTTCTTAGCAGAAAGTTTTACAACTTCAATCACAAATCAAAAGCAACTAATTGACAATTTAAGGCTATACAAGTTAAAGTCTTACTCATTTAAGGTTAAAAACTAACTTTTGCTCCTAATTTTGACCAAAGTTAGCTACTTGATAAGTACGAAGTATTGATTAGTAACTAAGCTATATGATAAGAAATTCATAACTTTGAAGCTTAAAAAAAAAATAAAAATAAAAATAAAAAAATAAAACAGAATTATTATTGAAGCAAGCAAAGAAATGAAAAGGGTGAAAAAAAGAGAAATTACAGCAACAGTGAAGCCTCTAAAAATGTCAAGAGAATGAAGGCGGTTTTTCTGGTTGAAATTTTGAGAAGAAGGTAGCTCGTTCTGTTTTTCATGGAAAAAATCAAGTGATTTGGTTGGTTGTTCTTCATCAATTTCAATCTGATTTTGCTGTTCTGCTCTCTGCAATAACTCGCTCATCTTGGTAAGTGTCAACCACCTCTACTCTCTTTGCTACTTTGGTTATCTTTCTATTTTTTCTACTCCTCGAGTTCAACTTTAGAGCCTTTTTGGTAGGTGGTAAAATGGTTGTATGGATTTTTACTTTTTGATTTAGAGGTTATTGATAGTACAAAACACATAAAGGCGAGAGATATAAGAAGATCTCAACTCACAAGGAAACATTCGTTACATAGGTAACATTAGTCATATATAGTCATATGGAGTGCACACATGGAAATGAACCACCAATTGGAGAAGGAAACTCTTATAGAAAATGGGGAGGATCTTGTTCTATTATTTGAATTAGGCTTGGACCAAACATTATATTATTTGTTACACTATGATACATTCGGTCTAATGGTTTTCCATTTTCATATGTTTTTTTTGGTGTTTAGAGAGCCACAAGGGCGGGGGTGAGAATCGATCCCAGGATCTCCTGGAATCGGGAGGGAAGCTCTAACTACTTGAGCTATCCATCACTCTCTTCCATTTTCATATGTAAATATTAAGAAACCTAATTGGAGAATGAAACTCTTGTAGAAAATGGGGAGGATCTAGTTTTAGTTATAAACCGTAGTACTTCCCTCTCAAAAAAATAAAATAAGCCATAGTACTCTATATAAGAGTAGTTTTTAATGTTCCGAGTATAATATTTTTTACTTATTTCGGAATACATATCCAAAGTAATGCCTAAAGGTACATCTTTTTGACACTTGAACAAAAGCGTCACATTGATGGTCTTTACTACTTGTTGTCCTGCCTAAATTTAAAGGTTAAAAAAGATGCAAGTTTTTAATGTCAAAGCGTCACGTGTCACATTGATGGTCTTCACCTCTAATGAGGTAGAAGATATGTATACGGTATACCCTTTGGTTTAATTTAGTAGGCCTACTTATAGCAATGCAAGTTCGAAAACTGATAAAATTATTGCATCACGTGACAGTGCGGAGCCAGAAATTGTAATTTGGGGGACAAGTTTTTGAAATCTAATAATTCAATAAAAAAATCACAAAAAAAATCCCATAAATTGTTTTATATTTGAATTGCATGCATATGACAATTATTCTTATTTGGTAAAAGAGTTGTAACAAGTTTCATTGTATATTAAGGGCGTGTTCGGCGCTAGCTTTTGAGTAGCTTTTAGTGGTTTGACCAAGTTAAATCACTACGAAGTACTTGACAAAAAATGTGGGTGTTTGGCAAAGTAGTGGTTAAGATAGCTTTTAGTGGTGGAGGTAGCTTTTATAAAAAGTTAGCAAGATTAGCTTTTGAAATTGGAGGTAGCTTTTGAGGTAGCTGTTGAAAATTTAATTTATAGTTTTAAAAATAAAATGTTGATTTTTAAATATAACAGCTAGTCAACCGCTAATTTACCGAACACTCATATGTAAATTATTTATCTTCACAGCTAACAGCTTGTTGACAGCTAACAACTACATACACAGTTCACAGCTACCTCCACAGTTACAGCTACCTTCACAGCTATATTTTTCCGAACATGTCCTAAGAAAATTATCCAACAAGACCAATTTCTGAATTTAGAAAAAAAATTGAGATTTGCCATGTAGAATTTTTTTAAAAACTTTTTTAAAATTTTGGTTACCTGGTAGTTAAAGAAAATAGAAACTAAAGAACAAGTTCAGTACCATGATAAATAATACTACGTACTACGTACAAGGATGAAGACAATTAATTAATTATTTTTAGTTGACATTAATAAATAAGGTTACTTGTACAAATAAATACGAATAAAAATAACTCTTAAAAATCAATGTAGCCACACACAACGCGAACTGATAATTGTATCATTGTTCCACATAAAAAATATCATAATTCCCAAATACACAATTGTTTTTCGCAACAGAAAAGACAAAATAGGCAATTTTTCCCTTGCATGCTAAGGTTATTACGCATAAATTGTTCAAAAAAGGAAACTAATTAATTATCAAAGAAACGCATAAATTGAATACTAGGATACTAGCTAGCTAGCAAAACAAGTTTAAAGACAAAGAAGGAAGTCATTCACTTGAAAACTCCATTATCATTCTCACAACATTCCATTTTAAGGATACAGAGAAAAATTATCACATACATACATTATTATGGAAGAAATGACAAAGTTAAAAAAAGAAGAAGAGAGAATTCAACTACTTATCGAAGAAGATGAAATATCTCCGAGGTAAGTGATTATTTCCATTATAATTAAAAAGTAGTTCCTTTTTACATAATAAGAATGAATAAAAGTATAATTCATGGACTAATTGAAGATCAAACACCTTAAAATTTAGAACAGGTTTTTGAGATGGTGTTTTTCCATGAACACTTCCCAAACGCATTGAAGAAACAACTAAACAAATGATCTTAACCATTTGCATTGTTGCGACGGTTAGACGAGTTGTAAGGTCTTCCACCTTTATGTAAATCCTAATTCTATCTAGAATATTCTAGAATCATACAAGGAACATCCACACAATATTTTATAATACTGTTCAACTATTGCAACAGTTATATATTCATCCTCCAATGACGACTTAGGATGAAAGTGAGTATTGGGACACTTGGTGAGTTTCTAATTTTCTATTATGTCACGAAAATATGACCACATGTCAGGATGACTTGTAAAACTTTTCACGAAATTGAAATGTAGCCTATGTAGGGTGTGCCTCAACATTGTTGTGACTCTCTTATAAGGAATATAATCTCCAAGTATGGAGACAATATTATATAGGGAAATTCTATCTGGTAATCACTAACTTTTATTTTTTTTCAATGGTAAACTCTGAAATTTTTTATTATCAATAGTAATCACAAAGTAATATAATTAAACTAATGGTAACTTTGTTAAATAATTTGTTGATTCTCTAACCATAGTTTAGCAATTAAAGTACAAAAAGACATAACTACCCCCATTTAATTACCCTCAACCCCCCTTCTTCTTCCTTTCTCCCCGCTGCTACGTACTCCCTTTGACCCTTTCCAACCACTTGCGCTGCTGCCAAACACCCCCGTCGACCGCCGCTGCCTCACCTCCCTTCCTCGTCGCTGCCTCACCACCCTTCCCTGTACCCCTTGCCCCATCTCCCTCGAAAACAACTTAAATCCATACTCAAAATTAACGAAAATCGACCCCAAAAATCAACAAATTCGACCCCAAAAATCCCCCAAAAATGAATCAGACCCTCGTCTCTTCTCTTAATTTTCCTTACTGCTCTTCATCATCAAAACCCATCATCACAAACAAACGAGCATCATCAAAACCCAGCATCGATCACAAACGAGCATCATCATCAACATTACACAGTCGTTCGATTAAGACATTTTATTTTGCTTTGAAATTGAAGCTTGCGGCTGCAAACTGAGTGCGACAGAGGCTGTTGTGGGACGAATTGGAGGCGCTGGTGATTAATTCGGCGGATGAAGGTGGTTGTAATCATGGTGACGAGGTGATTGCGGCGGATAGATGCTGTTTTGATGCTAACCATGGTAGGAGCATCGTAGATGGAGCGAGGGAGATGCGAGGGAGCAGAGGTGCTGCTGAATGGTGGTTGTAATCGTTGTGGCGAGGTGGTTTAGTGGAGTGGATTTGGAGGTGATTTGGTGGAGTGGATTTGAAGGTGGTTGGTTGCGGAGGTGGCGAGGTGATTTGGTGGAGTGGATTTGGAGGTGGTTGGTTGCGGTGGTCCGACGCCGTTGTTTGGGTCAATTGACGAAGCTGGTGGTGTGGGTGTGGTGGTAAGTGAGGGATTAAGCTGGGTGGCTCGGGGAGGGGGTTGACAGGTGGCTGGTGGTGGGGAGGGGTTTGGATTTTTTTTTGTTTTTGTATATTATTTTTTTAATAATTTAAAGGATACTAATGTAAATCTATTATTACTTAACCAAAATTAACCCTAATTAATCGTTTAATGATGTTCAAATATCATTAATGTTATCATTTGTTTATTAATATTAATTTGTGATTACCATTAATAATAAAAAATTTCAGAGTTTACCATTGAGAAAAAATAAAAGTTAGTGATTACCAGAGAGAATTTCCCTATTATATAGTAGAAAGATATATTTTATTACCTAATTAATAATTAGGAACAATATCAAGTCTTACCAAAGTTTGGAAGATATAGTAAATTTTGCAATTAATGTTGTTTATAGACTTTGTATGAACAATTTCCTAATCTAGTTCTAGAAATAAAAATAATTATAAAAAAAAATTCCCAATCTAGTTTTGTGTCAAAATTAAATTTCATATTCTAGTGTTCATGTAAGGGCATGTTCACATTTACTGAACTGAGTTGAACGTGAACTGAATATTTTATGAGAGAGGGAAATTAGGAGCTGAAGTGAAGTAAATGTGAACAAGCCCTTAAGTCAGATACACAAAGCTACTCCGTAGTATATTTCTTGGGTCAGTTTGGTTTAACTCAATTGTAAAAACAGATGACCACTTGATTGCTCACTAGAGTTTGTAGACTCCCTTCTGTCATTCATACGTAATTTCAGCCTAGGTGTTATGGAAATAGTGAAAGTTGAGTTGAACCAACACTTTGTAATATGTCTAGTATATTCTGTGTGCTGTGTCTCTGTATAAACCAACTTAACAGTTAGCACTTCGTATTTCCCATTAGAACAATAGAACAGTCCCAATATTTTCAGCTATACAGCCCCCACCCCCCCCAAAAAAAAAAAAAAAAAAAACTTCCATAGTAGCATTATCAGATCATAGAGTCAGATATGTACAAACTGGTAGACTCGAGATAAGCATTGTGAAGATAAAAAAAACATCCAGTGAACACCATCAACGCTCAAATACAACAAAATTTTACAATTTCACTGCGAAGTTTAAAGGAGTCCTATGCTAGCTTTCAAGGGGGATATGATCTGACGACCTACCACCCTGCTCCTTCATCAAAGGCATTGCTTCGGATCATCTAATTTGCCTATCACCTGGGAAACCAGTTGAATTTCTGCAAATAGATTAGTATCGTTTTGTGCATGCAATCATTGGAACTACAAATGGTTAAGCACAGACTGTACGCTGTAATGAAAGCACACAAACAGGCAGCAAGACACATGAGAACATACATGCAAATATACAAACTTCTGTAAATCTTGGCCAAGGACTGCCTTTCTTGTGCACCCAACTTGTGAAAAGAACAATCATAAAATGCATTGCTTGCTGAATAATCTTCGAGAATGTGACACCACTGTTAACAGTAGACTCGAGATTCAAGAATTCACGAATTCACATAGCCATCAGACTTGACATATGCTCCCTCCATCAGCACATAACTCTCACTTTACCACTTTAGCTACCACCGTTTCTCATCATCTAGTAAACCCAACCAAAAATTTAAAAGTGACAAAACCCTAAATAGTACAAACAAAAGGGGAAGGGGAGTTAGTAAATGGAGGATGGCACAGGCACATTCCAACATAATTGTTTCAATTTAAGTATGAGAAGGAGAAAGTAACAAAAACCATTTTTAAAACAGCACCTGTAAAACTGTAAGAGCAATTGACAGAAATTTGCCTAATGCTAGCATCATAACAAGACATAAGCATGATATAACAACCTTCAAAACTACTCACTGTATATTGTACAATGAGGCCCAGGGCAGCTATCTGGTCAGCATGTAAACCTATCTCCAAATATATCAATCACACAGATACGCTACAACCTGTGCCATCTCATCCAAGATCATCAAGTGCAAACAAGAGGTCACTAAGATGACTTAAATGGCAATATAATGACCTTAGAAAAAACAGCCACAAGGAGCACATCTGTATCAGATTTGGCTAAATAGCATCATTCCAGCAAGAACCCGAAGAAGGGCACATATATTAAAGCTTTGGCAAATATGATGGCAAAAGGTGTCATTCTAAAGGTCAGCATAGAAATGTACTTTGAGAATGATAGAAATCATAAATCATTTTGCTGTTTTAACACATGTCAAGCTAAATTCTCACAGATATGAATGAAAAAGCTTAGATACAAATTAGCATAAAGTACTATCTCTAACCCTGACTGACTAATGACTGTCAGTCAAAAGGAAGAGTGAACAATCCAAGAGTCACATATTTTACAACCATTCTTAAACTTTCATAATTCTGACCCATTTTTTAAAACAGCACCTGCAAAACTGTAAGAGCAATTGACAGAAATTTGCCTAATGCTAGCATCATAACAAGACATAAGCATGATATAACAACCTTCAAAACTACTCACTGTATATTGTACAACGAGGCCCAGGGCAGCTATCTGGTCAGCATGTAAACCTTATCTCCAAAATATATCAATCACACAGATAAGCTACAACCTGTGACATCTCATCCAAGATCATCAAGTGCACACAAGAGGTCACTAAGGGCCTGTTCCGATCTACTGAAAACAACTAAACTGAACTGAATTGTATTTTTTATGAGAGAAGAAAATTAGGAACTGAACTGAACTAAACTGATTGGATCTGAGCTGAACAGAACAGGCCCTAAGATGACTTAAATGGCAATATAATGACCTTAGAAAAAACAGCCACAAGGAGCACATCTGTATCAGATTTGGCTAAATAGCATCATTCCAGCAAGAACCCGAAGAAGGGCACATATATTAAAGCTTTGGCAAATATGATGGCAAAAGGTGTCATTCTAAAGGTCAGCATAGAAATGTACTTTGAGAATGATAGAAATCATAAATCATTTTGCTGTTTTAACACATGTCAAGCTAAATTCTCACAGATATGAATGAAAAAGCTTAGATACAAATTAGCATAAAGTACTATCTCTAACCCTGACTGACTAATGACTGTCAGTCAAAAGGAAGAGTGAACAATCCAAGAGTCACATATTTTACAACCATTCTTAAACTTTCATAATTCTGACCCATTTTTAAAACAGCACCTGCAAAACTGTAAGAGCAATTGACAGAAATTTGCCTAATGCTAGCATCATAACAAGACATAAGCATGATATAACAACCTTCAAAACTACTCACTGTATATTGTACAACGAGGCCCAGGGCAGCTATCTGGTCAGCATGTAAACCTTATCTCCAAAATATATCAATCACACAGATAAGCTACAACCTGTGACATCTCATCCAAGATCATCAAGTGCACACAAGAGGTCACTAAGGGCCTGTTCCGATCTACTGAAAACAACTAAACTGAACTGAATTGTATTTTTTATGAGAGAAGAAAATTAGGAACTGAACTGAACTAAACTGATTGGATCTGAGCTGAACAGAACAGGCCCTAAGATGACTTAAATGGCAATATAATGACCTTAGAAAAAACAGCCACAAGGAGCACATCTGTATCAGATTTGGCTAAATAGCATCATTCCAGCAAGAACCCGAAGAAGGGCACATATATTAAAGCTTTGGCAAATATGATGGCAAAAGGTGTCATTCTAAAGGTCAGCATAGAAATGTACTTTGAGAATGATAGAAATCATAAATCGTTTTGCTGTTTTAACACATGTCAAGCTAAATTCTCACAGATATGAATGAAAAAGCTTAGATACAAATTAGCATAAAGTACTATCTCTAACCCTGACTGACTAATGACTGTCAGTCAAAAGGAAGAGTGAACAATCCAAGAGTCACATATTTTACAACCATTCTTAAACTTTCATAATTCTGACCCATTTTTAAAACAGCACCTGCAAAACTGTAAGAGCAATTGACAGAAATTTGCCTAATGCTAGCATCATAACAAGACATAAGCATGATATAACAACCTTCAAAACTACTCACTGTATATTGTACAACGAGGCCCAGGGCAGCTATCTGGTCAGCATGTAAACCTTATCTCCAAAATATATCAATCACACAGATAAGCTACAACCTGTGACATCTCATCCAAGATCATCAAGTGCACACAAGAGGTCACTAAGGGCCTGTTCCGATCTACTGAAAACAACTAAACTGAACTGAATTGTATTTTTTATGAGAGAAGAAAATTAGGAACTGAACTGAACTAAACTGATTGGATCTGAGCTGAACAGAACAGGCCCTAAGATGACTTAAATGGCAATATAATGACCTTAGAAAAAACAGCCACAAGGAGCACATCTGTATCAGATTTGGCTAAATAGCATCATTCCAGCAAGAACCCGAAGAAGGGCACATATATTAAAGCTTTGGCAAATATGATGGCAAAAGGTGTCATTCTAAAGGTCAGCATAGAAATGTACTTTGAGAATGATAGAAATCATAAATCATTTTGCTGTTTTAACACATGTCAAGCTAAATTCTCACAGATATGAATGAAAAAGCTTAGATACAAATTAGCATAAAGTACTATCTCTAACCCTGACTGACTAATGACTGTCAGTCAAAAGGAAGAGTGAACAATCCAAGAGTCACATATTTTACAACCATTCTTAAACTTTCATAATTCTGACCCATTTTTAAAACAGCACCTGCAAAACTGTAAGAGCAATTGACAGAAATTTGCCTAATGCTAGCATCATAACAAGACATAAGCATGATATAACAACCTTCAAAACTACTCACTGTATATTGTACAACGAGGCCCAGGGCAGCTATCTGGTCAGCATGTAAACCTTATCTCCAAAATATATCAATCACACAGATAAGCTACAACCTGTGACATCTCATCCAAGATCATCAAGTGCACACAAGAGGTCACTAAGGGCCTGTTCCGATCTACTGAAAACAACTAAACTGAACTGAATTGTATTTTTTATGAGAGAAGAAAATTAGGAACTGAACTGAACTAAACTGATTGGATCTGAGCTGAACAGAACAGGCCCTAAGATGACTTAAATGGCAATATAATGACCTTAGAAAAAACAGCCACAAGGAGCACATCTGTATCAGATTTGGCTAAATAGCATCATTCCAGCAAGAACCCGAAGAAGGGCACATATATTAAAGCTTTGGCAAATATGATGGCAAAAGGTGTCATTCTAAAGGTCAGCATAGAAATGTACTTTGAGAATGATAGAAATCATAAATCGTTTTGCTGTTTTAACACATGTCAAGCTAAATTCTCACAGATATGAATGAAAAAGCTTAGATACAAATTAGCATAAAGTACTATCTCTAACCCTGACTGACTAATGACTGTCAGTCAAAAGGAAGAGTGAACAATCCAAGAGTCACATATTTTACAACCATTCTTAAACTTTCATAATTCTGACCCATTTTTAAAACAGCACCTGCAAAACTGTAAGAGCAATTGACAGAAATTTGCCTAATGCTAGCATCATAACAAGACATAAGCATGATATAACAACCTTCAAAACTACTCACTGTATATTGTACAACGAGGCCCAGGGCAGCTATCTGGTCAGCATGTAAACCTTATCTCCAAAATATATCAATCACACAGATAAGCTACAACCTGTGACATCTCATCCAAGATCATCAAGTGCACACAAGAGGTCACTAAGGGCCTGTTCCGATCTACTGAAAACAACTAAACTGAACTGAATTGTATTTTTTATGAGAGAAGAAAATTAGGAACTGAACTGAACTAAACTGATTGGATCTGAGCTGAACAGAACAGGCCCTAAGATGACTTAAATGGCAATATAATGACCTTAGAAAAAACAGCCACAAGGAGCACATCTGTATCAGATTTGGCTAAATAGCATCATTCCAGCAAGAACCCGAAGAAGGGCACATATATTAAAGCTTTGGCAAATATGATGGCAAAAGGTGTCATTCTAAAGGTCAGCATAGAAATGTACTTTGAGAATGATAGAAATCATAAATCATTTTGCTGTTTTAACACATGTCAAGCTAAATTCTCACAGATATGAATGAAAAAGCTTAGATACAAATTAGCATAAAGTACTATCTCTAACCCTGACTGACTAATGACTGTCAGTCAAAAGGAAGAGTGAACAATCCAAGAGTCACATATTTTACAACCATTCTTAAACTTTCATAATTCTGACCCATTTTTAAAACAGCACCTGCAAAACTGTAAGAGCAATTGACAGAAATTTGCCTAATGCTAGCATCATAACAAGACATAAGCATGATATAACAACCTTCAAAACTACTCACTGTATATTGTACAACGAGGCCCAGGGCAGCTATCTGGTCAGCATGTAAACCTTATCTCCAAAATATATCAATCACACAGATAAGCTACAACCTGTGACATCTCATCCAAGATCATCAAGTGCACACAAGAGGTCACTAAGGGCCTGTTCCGATCTACTGAAAACAACTAAACTGAACTGAATTGTATTTTTTATGAGAGAAGAAAATTAGGAACTGAACTGAACTAAACTGATTGGATCTGAGCTGAACAGAACAGGCCCTAAGATGACTTAAATGGCAATATAATGACCTTAGAAAAAACAGCCACAAGGAGCACATCTGTATCAGATTTGGCTAAATAGCATCATTCCAGCAAGAACCCGAAGAAGGGCACATATATTAAAGCTTTGGCAAATATGATGGCAAAAGGTGTCATTCTAAAGGTCAGCATAGAAATGTACTTTGAGAATGATAGAAATCATAAATCGTTTTGCTGTTTTAACACATGTCAAGCTAAATTCTCACAGATATGAATGAAAAAGCTTAGATACAAATTAGCATAAAGTACTATCTCTAACCCTGACTGACTAATGACTGTCAGTCAAAAGGAAGAGTGAACAATCCAAGAGTCACATATTTTACAACCATTCTTAGACTTTCATAATTCTAACCCAGAAATCTATTGTGAGCACCAAATGACAAATATGCATCAGCAGAACTAAACAAGATGTCGAATGCCATAAAACATGCAGCTCTTGGAAGTGTGCTAGGGACACAATTCTTTGCATTTTAATGAAAAAGATGAGTTGTGCCAGTAATGAACAAACTATAGAAAATTTTCACTATAAGGAATAGCTACAAATTTCATATAAAATATATATTACACATCACCAATATTTGTACAGCAATTAATGCATGCTGCAATGATTCTACAACGGGTTTTCTTTATAAGAAAACCATAGTAACAGAGAAACCACAACCACAAAAGTTGACAATTCTACTGTTGTGATTGCTTTGTTACAATGGTTGTCTTTGAAAAATAACCATTTTAAAAAATTTCAATAGAAAGTAATAATTAGAGGATTTGTTGGGATATAGAGGAAAAAAAAAAGAAGGAAAAAAACCATGCAATTGAGAGAGAACTGTTTTTAACTAATAGAAATATGAAGCTTTTTTCAGACATTCTAAACTTATCATTCAACATGCAGTGTCCCTAAACTATTGACATACAAATGAGGGCACCATAATTTCATAGCTAAATCTCTTTAAGAAACAATGTGTTAGGCTGCTTAGGCATTATTACATTTACATAGTCTCTAGTCTCTATAAGCCTTCATCTCCAAAGTACATAACACCCATTTTTCATTATATGTAAACAATAAATGTACAACGCAAATACACATAGCCAATCTTGGATCCCATGATATAGGTATAGATACACATTAATGAAAAAACATTCAGAACCCAAAGGCCATGAATATATTTCCAGATTAATTCCCTTCCTGAATCCCCTCCCAAAAATTCTATGGATAATGCTATTACCATAGTATGAAAGAGAAATACAAAAGTACTACCTCAATCTTACCTGTACGATACCAGTTGAAGCACATACAAATAATATGCATTTCGAGATCCAATTCCCTGTCCTTGACTGAGGAATAAAAGAACCCCATATTCTCACTAGGTCTCAAACATTGTCATCAGCAAAGCCTTGATGTTTAGCAAGAGATGTGGCTTTGAGCATATCTGATGCAATCATTTTTTGCATCTCAATATGATGCATCACAATGACAGAAGTAGCCATCTTAAAAATGCCAGCCATTCCTGCGCCAATATCTCCTAGCATTTTCATTAACACGAGCTTGTTTTACTTTCAGGAAAAGCTTATAAGCCCTATCTACTTTGTTAAAAGCCATGAGTTTCTTATTCAGTTTGCTATACATGAGCCTGCTTGGACAAAACCCCTTACGCAGAGCCTCCTCCATAACACATACAGCAGCCTCAAGTTGTCCGTTGTTGCACAATCCATTTACAACATACTCATAAACTTCAATGTCAGCAGAATATCCACTTTCTTGTATTTCATCCCACAGCTTCACAAGCATTCCACATTTGCCAAATCGGGAAAGCCTCATTAGCAACAGCTTATAAGCATTCAATGATATTCTACACCCCTGTTTTCTAGCATTTTTATAAATTATCATGGCAGCATAAGGTGGACCATAATTACACAATGGTTCAATGAACGAGGTTACCATCCCAGTGGTTGGAATTACTCCTTTACGCAACATCTCATCAAACATCTCAAGTGCATCAGCTACTTTTCGGGCCTTTATCAAACCACAAATAATTTTTGCGCAAGTGTCAACATCCGGTTGACAGTCATTTCTTGACATTTCTTCATAATACTTCATGCATTCGTCAAAATTCCCAACAGAAACATAATTAGCAATCATTGCATTATAAACTCCTATATTAGGTTGACACCCTTGACCCTCCATACTTTTGAAGATCTTAACGGCATCATCAACCAGACCAGCTTTACCCAAACCTTCAATAAGACAACTATACGTCTCACAATCTGGACAAAACCCGTCTTCTACCATCCCCTCCAAACACTTCTTCATTTCACTAACCTTACCTAACTTCGCCCACCCACCAATCACCACATTGTAAGTCACACAATCAAACACAAACTTCCCCCTCATTGAATTCAGCAACGAATTAGCAGTGCCCACATGTGCTCTCTTACACAAGCACTTCAATAGCACATTAAACTCCTCAGTACCACACATCATCCCAAACTCATCCAATTTCCTAAACAACTCCACCGCTCTAGATACAAAGCGAGACCTGATAAAACTATCCATCACAAGCTCAAGCGTTCCGCAATTCATACTAATCCCTTCGACATACATTTCTCGAAATTTATCCATCATAAAATCAAAATGCTTCCTCCTCCCTAAAGCCTTAAGAATCACATGATACACCCCTAAATCTCTACCAACACTATCATGCTTAATCGCCCAATTAAAAAACAAAACCATAGCATCACCCCCTAAGTTCCCCCTATCTAAAACCCTAGAAACAACATCAACACTTAGCTGTACATCACCTAAAGCTGCAGTTAAGGCATTTTCTATCAAAGCTTTACTCTTTAACTTCTGAAGAAAAACCCCACGTAATTTATCTTCTAACGGTAAAAACCCATCAGGGGAAACACTAATTAGGGTTTCCTCTGAATTAGGAATGTAGAGATTATTAGGGATTGTAGTTGTCCGATTAACAGGTAATAGATTTGAGAGTTCAGCAAGCACCTTAGATTCGTCGAGAATACTAGAACTAGTAGTTGGGTGTATAAGTAAAAGATTATCATCTTCATCTTCTTCTTTTTGTTGTTGTTGTTGTTCGAAGTTAGAGGAAGCTTCAATGGTGGAAAATTGAGAAAATGGGGATAGTGAGAAGATAGAGTAAAAGGAATACCTGGAATTTTTGGCAAACCCCATGAATCTTTGAAGAGAAAATGTCATGGTGAAGCTCTGTTATTGAGAATCAGCTATCCACCATTGAAGCAGCAACAGCATTCATCATGTTTGAGAAGAAGTGGATTTTCCACTCTCCCGGGGAAGGCAGAGTGTGTAAAATACGCTGTTTGAGCAGAAGTGCGGCTGATGAATCATAATTTTTAGGTATTTTATGGACAATATGGCGGTGGGACTTGTTATTCATCGCCCGCAAATCTCTACATAAAGCCCACATTTTATAATTTTTTGACAAATTTGCCCTTTTTATAATTTTAACGGAAGATAAATTTTTCGCACTAAAAAAATGTGGAGCAGCACCGGATCGCCGAGGATCACCGGAGAATCGCCGTCGTCATCGGAAAACGAGGTTCGTAACGCATCGTAAGGACGAAATGGTGGCTGGCGCCTAGCCAAAAGGCCATGCCGTGGTTGTGGCGCCTAGCCAGGACGCCGCCACCGTGGTCACGGCGCCTGGTGGAGAAGCCTCGACCATAGTAGCGGCGCGTGGCCAGGACGCCGCAGCCACGGCCAAGGCGCCTGGCCACCACGCCGCCACCATGGCGGCGGCGTCCTGACCAGGCGCCCCGGCCGTGGCTCCGGCGTCCTGGCCAGGCGCCAGTAGGGGAATATTTTTTTTTTTTTTATTTTTATTTTTTAATTTAATCCCCTTTTTTTTTTTTTTTTTTGTTTGTTTTTGTTAATTTAATCTTAATGTAATTATATTTATACGTTATATGTTATTGTTACAGGATTATGGTGGAGACGGAAATGATTACAGTGGGATTTTTGTACATGATGGCCTGTTCGAAGATGCTCAACAAGCGATTGATTGGGCAAAACAGGTTGCAATTAGATCAGGCTTTTGTTTAGTAGTAGCAACTCATAAATCTCAACGGGATGGTAGAATGGATCGCATTTTGAGATGCGACCGTTATCGCAAAAGAGAAGAACGAGATTTCAGTAAAGCGATTCGGTTTGACTCAAAGCGGAAAGGTTGTGGGTGTCAGTTCCGAGTTAAGGTTCGACAACATCAAAGGCGTGACGGTTGGGAAGTGAAGGGTTACGACAAATGGGGATATCACAACCATGAGCTGATAGCATACAAAGTGGGGCATCGGCAGTTAAGCGGTCTAAGTCCAGCTGCGAAACTAGTTGTAAAAGAAATGAGTGATGCTCAAGTGAAGCCCGCTAAAATATTAGCGTCTGTGTTAGAGAAATTCCCCGAAGACCAGCCAAACCGAAGACACATCTACAACGTCAGACAGAAATTGAGGTTTGAACGGTCAGAGGGAAGGAACCCTATACAGCAGCTTCTGCACCAGGCACAAGCACGTGGTTACCTTTACTGGTTTGAATCTGACGAAGACACATCGGAGGTAACTCATTTGTTCCTTGTCCATCCTGATTGTGCTGATATGATTTCGTCTTGGCCATCTGTGATTTTGATCGATTCAACGTACAAGACAAACAAGTACAAGTTCCCACTGGTTGAGATGGTTGGGATGGCTCCAACGAACCAGAACTTTCTGATTGGTTATGCAGTCATGAAGGATGAGACGGCTGCGAGTTACCGTTGGGTGTTGGAAAAGTTGAGAAACTACATCGGCCCAAATGTACAGCCATCGGCCATCGTAAGTGATTGTGAGGGAGGTCTTTTTGCCCCTATAGCGGAGCTGTTTCCGGAGTCGAGCCATTTACTGTGCACATGGCACATCAACAACTGCGTGAAAGTCAAAGCCTACAACCTTTTCAACAAGAACTTAGATTCAGCAGAGAGATTGGTAAATGGTAAGTGGCGGAAGATCCTGCAAGCTACCACGGAGGCAGAGTACGATCGAGCCTTGGAAAACTTAAAGGATGCGTACAAGTGGTGCCCGCCAATCGTAGACTATGTGATGCATCAGTGGGTACCTCAGAGGGAAAAGTTTGTCAAATATTGGACGAACCAAGTTCTTCATTTTGGGAACACTACGACATGCAGAGTCGAGAGCGCTCATAGAGCTTTGAAGGACTGGATTGATTCTTCCACGGCTGCTCTGGATACACTGTTCGAGAGAATAAACAAGGCTATTGATACTCAGAGGAACGGCATCAAGAACTATCTCGAGGACTCCAGACGACGACATGGCATGTTGTATGGCCATTTCATATTTAAGATTCTCCATGGTCGTGTGTCACACCACTGTTTGGGGTTGATTCTGAGCGAGTATACCAGGATGAGGGAGTTGGGCGATGAAGTGGCTATTCGGTGCGGATGTGCTATATCAATGACTCATGGATTACCTTGTGCATGCACCATTCACCGCGTAATTACGCAAGACAGGGCGTCGTTACATGTCGATCAGGTTCATCCATTCTGGCGGACGCTCGTTATCGGAGAGCATGCTGTTCCGCATACGGTTCACCGTGAACAGGAGGAGTTGGAGCAGTTTCAGATGATGTTTGACCAAGTGTCCTCCAGTCACCCTTCGATCATTCGTAGTGCTACACACATACTTCATGACATGTTCAATACATCGTGTTTGGATACCGAGGAACCGGAAGGGGTCGAGCGACCTAGGGGTCGACAACCACGGCGGAACAAGAGTGCGTTTGAGTACATTCGCGGTCGTGGCCGTGGTCGTACATCCTCATCAAGTGGCAGCCAATCATCGTCGTCGGTGAATATGCCCGGCACCGGTAAGACATTCGACTTCAATTTCTTTTGTTGACTGTTTGATTAGTTTACTGTTGACTTGTTTATTGTGTTTATTGATGTGTGTAACAGGGAGAATGGACATTGAACATTTTCCATATAAGGACAGGATCCCTAATATCATGATGCCATTCTTGGACGGGTGGAATGATGTCATTGCAGATGGTAACTGCGGATTTCGGGTTGTGGCGGATGTGTTTCAAATGGGTGAAGACAACTACGGTTTAGTGCGGCAGTTGATGTACAGTGAAATCGCATCAAACCGAGATGTGTATGGCCATGTGTACGGCGAGGACTTGGATAGGTCTCTGCAGCGTATCCGGTGGGGAGGGGGACCTTGCGGTCAAAATCATTGGTTCGATGCGCCACTTGATCTCTTTGCCGTTGCAAACATCTACAAGTGTGCAGTCATGCATTTCGGCCTTGGTTTACATAGTCGAGCCTATTATCCATGTACAACGGTTCTGCCCTGGTGTTCGCGCGAGACCGTCACCAGACCGGTAAGGGACGTTGCTATTGGATTTCTTGGGCCGTCATACAGACATTTTATCCGATTAGACATGTCACCCGATTTTCCGGTCCCAAATATCATACCGAAGTGGTATGAAATTCGTAGAGCAAGCGTGGAGGGTTGGGATGCTTTGTACCATGCTCGCGTGCAACAGTGGAACAATTTAATTGCCATGTAGTTTTTGTTGATGTACACCTACCTTTTACTATGAGGCCTTGTATTGTCAATACTATGTCATTTCTATGTGTTCATTTTTAAAAGATAATGTTTCATTTTAAAAACTAACAACAATAATTTCAAATATTACAAACTAAAATGATAATATTGAATTTTAAAAACTAAGAACAATAATGTCAAATATTACAAACTAAAAAGATAATGTCTAATTTCAAATATCAGTAATCCCTCTGTGACGCCCACTGCCACTGCTCAAGGGTCCGTTCCAGATCGTCAATAACAGCTCTGCCTGATGCACTCGTCATGCAGTCCCTTTCCTCAAAAAGTCGGTGTCCCAACTGCATAATCTTGCCCATCCACTACACAAAACAAAAAACATGAAACGACGTATTATACATATATATATTAAAATAAGAGAACAACAAATAAAAGATGAGACGTACCGCATAAGAGGCAGTGGCAGGTGGCACATCGTCATCATCTGCGTCGTCGATGTCTTTGATCAACCTCGGGTGCGAGTGCCGGATGTACCATTCCATGTAGTGCTGGTCACACATGGCAGTCACCCCACTTGGCGGCCGCTGCAGCTCCGCCGTCCATAGGCGGGCAACCATCGGAAACTGCTCCCACATGGATATCATGTTTGACGGCCATTGGACGACGTACTCCTTCGACGACGCAGATCGTACCGCCTTACTGGGCCATGCCGGTGGAGGTGGGACAACTTGGACAAATCCAAGCTGGCGAAGACAGCGCTGCGGCATGTACGCCTCTACGATCTCGCGATACTGAATCAGTCCAGTGTAGAGGGTCCTGGGTACCCTATTACTAGGGTTCTGGCCGAAAGGCATCCAGTTCACCTGCACATTATTTAAAATCAGTAACAGTCATAAAATAAAGCATCAGATTGTAAAAGTAGAAATAATTTAATCACTGTACCTCTAAGGGGGACATCCTGTCAAGCGATAACCGTATGGAGCGCAGGCGGTCAACGGACTTCTTCTCGACACGCGGACTCCACGCACAGGCACGTGGCTGGCCATCACCAATGGGAACCGGGTCGCGGTGTGGTCGAAACGCAGGAAAATACTCGTATATCCAGGTCTGTAACAACGTCAGACATCCAGTGATACCTGCTGCATCAGCCCGGCTCGAGAATCCTAACTGGCGATACAGATACGCCAGCGTAGCCGACCCCCAAGAAAACTGGCCTACTCTGTCGGGCTCACACGCGTCAACTATGTCGCGTGGCCTGAGCTTGTTCCCGCTCTTATCCGGAAACAAGGTACACCCGAGAAGAAGAAAAACATATGCAGCCAGCTGTGTGTCCTGCGTCCTACGTGTCGTAGGGTGCAAACATCGCTGCAAGACGGCTGCGATCTTAACGCCGCCGTGATCCCACACACCAAGTGCCGATGTGTACAGCGCAGCCCTATCCACCGCCAACAGCTCCGCTAGTAAATCTGCCTGATCCGCATCAGTGACGACAGATGCTCGGTTTCCCTCCACGGGAATCCCAAGGATGGCCTCGACGTCATGCAACATGATCGTCATCTCACCGAACGGAAGGTGGAACGAGTTCGTATCCGGCTGCCATCGCTCAACGAAAGCCGTGATCAGCGTCCAGTCAATCCTGTCGTGCATGGTGGCAGGAAGGTGACTCACTCTAGTGGCCCTCAATCGCTCGAGCATCTCGCTCTCCTCCGGCCAAGCATCAGCCCAGCTACACAAAAACCTACAAGTCTTTTCCCGGGTT